CTTTTCATATAATTTTGTAGAGAATTGAATGGCGCGTCTTTTAGATAAAGGTTGAAGCCTGGGCAATGAAAATTGAGGGAGATATTCACAAAATACTGACACCGCCATTCTTTATGGGCCACCCGTTAGTATGTATAAACATATTTTTAAGTTTTATTTTATTTTCTATGAAACTATCATTTACTCAATTGTTTTATATTGTCTATTAGAGATATTATGCATAAGGAGCATTGAAGTTCTCAGAAAAAATAAATCTTAACTTCAAGAACATATATGATTGAATGAAAGTAAGTAGAACCATATGTTCTTTGTATCTTCTCTTACATTCATTGAATTTAATCAAGAATAAGTACGAACTATATAGTGTCTCTTTGATTAATGCCAACAAAATATCGTAAAAAATGATTTTAATTAGAAAAACTACATTCTCAGAAAGAAATGAATCAATGAAGAAAACACTGTAAAATCCTTTAACAACGAGTTAAGTATTTAATTAATGGACATTTGAAAAATGTGTATTATATCTTCACGACAAAAATCGGATCTTCGTCTGAAACTTCATCGTAAATATAATATACAATCAAAACTATGGGTATCTGAAAATAAATTCTGTTATGAACAAATTGTAATACCAAAAAGGTTCGATACGATGCATAAATGCAACAATAACTGTTCATGAAAAATAATTTATTACTAAACCATAAAAACCTTGTGTTCGAGGAAAATGACATACGAATGATGAGATACTTAAAAAAATATATGTGTATACAATATTCAACGGATAAATGTCTTCGTCTTTTAGACTCCATATTTCATGGACATAAAGAAATCAATGCATGTCTTACATTACACAACCAAATCACCTGAACAACAGTATTTTGCTAACTTTAAATCAGCATCAAATATTTTTCATGCGTCATGCTAATAAATAGTGAAATCTATGATATTCATTAATATGATAGAACATAATAATTACTTTTCCCTACCACTCTTTCTTTGTTGCGTCGGCAAATGGCACACACAGATCATTCATCTATGAGTATTTATTTTTTACATTTGTTTAACTGTGATTGAAATTAATTTTTCGCCTATATTCAACTATGAAAAAAACAAGCAAATTTCATCTAAACTTAATTTTTGAAAATAAAACAAAATAGATTTTGAATTCTATCAGCAATATTAAACAATCAAGGATAAGAAAGTCAAATAGCATTGAATCATATTATAAGACAAACTAACTATTTTTATTCAGTTTATAAAAATTCCCAGATCATTTATGAGCCATTTTTTGAAGTCTTATCGATCCAATAAATATGAATCAACGTTGTGAATATTAATTCTTATGAAAATTTCATAGTTTTAAGGTTTCACATCTGTTCAATAAAAAAGTTTTAAATCTTATGTATTTTTCTCAACGATGTCTATTGTTGAATAGATTAATATACCAATTTTAGAATTCAAATTTATTTTGTTATTTCTCAAACAGATATTGTTCAAAAGAAGGTCACACAACAAATAATTTGAAATTATTAAAATGATGGTAGATACTTGTGTCGTTCATGCATACTTCATTTCATCTCAATGATACTACTGATGGCGCATTCATATGCATAAATGAAAGAAACAGTCAACTGAGAAATTTTTCTCAATAATCAATTCATCCTCTTCAATCCTATATAGAGTCATCGTTTTTAATTTATCCATCCATTATTCTTGTCTCTCATCGATTGAATGAATTTTTTCTTTGCATAATTGAATTATATTTTCTGTTGCAAATGTTACAGTAATTGAACTGTACATAGAAAAAAAAATATTCGCTTGTAGAGCACATTCTCTCCTTTTTTCTTTTCTGTCTACAATGAATTAATGTGGTGCAAAGTCAAGTATTTCTTTAGTCGGTCACGTACACATTTGACCTCTATCCATTGCACATTTCTAACTGTAACAAAATCTGTACTGTATGTCGCGATGATCTAGTGAAGAACGACTTGCTAGAAACTCGTTCGAACTTTGCCAGATATATCGATGTCTCGAGATGATACAAACCTTTTTGAATCTTCAACATGAGTTTTCGTTTATCTTTAGTAAGCTCTGCAAAATGCACTGAAAAAATCAGGACTATAGAAAACCTTATTGCAGTCTCAGCAGCAAAGATCTACAAAGACCTGACACGTAAAAACGTTCTACAGACTTTGTAAAATCTGCGTTAAGACTGTTGCTAGGAGTACGATAAGCTTTTTACTCTTGCTATTCATAAAAGATTACCTACCAATCCATGCTGTTAAAGCAATCTTTACCTTCTTCAATACGTGAATAAGACAGCATAGGAACATCTATTTGTTATTGGTGCATACTTACAGAACGATTAAAAAAAAATTTCCAACATAAAATATGTATTCAAATAGAATATCTAATGCAATTTATGCTGCTCTTGCTAGCATCAAAACGAAAATTTTAATTTAGAACAGGCGCGCAACAGTTTGAAAAAAGACTGATAATCCAAACAGTGCTCTGCAGTTCTATAATATTTCACTATTCTTCAGTTAATATGATAATATGAAAATTTCGATCAAATCTGCTCACTTCTAATTTAGATTGATAAGGATAACTTTGAGTTCTACAATAAATCCCTACTGTACTATATGTCAAAGCAATGCTTATTGATGACAAACTATATTTCTGTTTTCGCGATGATATGAATAGTTTCTTGAAGGTCGAAAAGACGTTAAAGACCAAGAATGACCTATAATTCAGGTCATATCTTTCATGATCACCCTCGAGGTCAGTTGTTACGATATATAAGTAGCCATAATCTTTTGAAGTTTACGATGATCGGATATTATTCATTGGACAGTGTCATGATTCAGATTAGTTTGCACTCATAATTGGTTAACTGCAATTTGACGATTATCATTAATAAGGCAAAGATCTGTTTAATCTTTTCGGATTTTTTCAATGACAGATTCGTCGTATTGCACTCTGCCTTCAACATTAGTCACAGAGTATTGTGACAGAAACTCATTGAACTATACTATGAAGTTTTTGTATGTTTAGTTTTTTTTCTATCTTGCTCAAAAATATTCTTCGTTCGATAAAATTAAAATCTTTACAAATGCTTTATACTATTATAATTACAATTGATGGTTTTTTCCTTTTTAATACAGCTATTTTTCTCAAGAACATAGAATGAAATATAATTCGATTTTCTTAGCATTTTCTAATCCATGTCTTTTCTTTCCCACAGGTTGATTCAGATTTTTTTTCGTTTTCTTATGTTTTATCTTGTTGAACATGTTGAAATTCTATGTTCTTCACTTCATTTCAATTGAAAAACATCGAAATCGATTTACATAATTGTTTCTAATCTGAATAATAGCTGCTGTGCACCATCTCGAAAATGTTCTGAAATTTCTCGCTATATTGCGTTTTATTTTATTTTCTTCCTTCTTTGGCCACTCGGGTGATGATTATAAGCTATAAATTAATAAAAATTTATTGTTTTTAAAAATAAATTTTTTCTTATCAATAGAGAAGATATATAACGAGAACGTATTGTGTAATACATATAACGACGATCATTGCTATTACTGATATTAATATCATTCAAAAGTTTCATAAAAGCTAGATAGATAAGAGATTGTAAGATACAGAATAGTAGAATTTTTTGTCAAGTCATTTTTCTCTCAATAGTCATTAGCATAGCTAGACTGTCATCACAAACGAGAGTGATTGATCGATCGATTCATAATCTTGATATATCGAAGACACTCAATACTCTATTTAAATGGTTGTTTCATCAGTAGCTCTTCTGGAATCGCTAGTTGGAAAATCTAAATCAGTATCTTGCACAAAATATTTTTTACTGACACGTTTCTTTACAAAAAAACAACAACAAATTTGATTGGATTCAGATCAACACAGTATCAGGAGTATTCGTAAAAAATTTCACACAGTTGATATTCTTGTGAAAAATGCAATAACAGAATCAATTGTATTGCTTCGTTACAGAACACGTATTTGGTATTTTCAGTAATTTATCAACACACAATCTGAATATTTGAAATGCTTTCGTATTACTTCGGTAAGGGTGAGTGTGGGTGGATGTGGGTATTGGTCTTCTCTTGAATCATGCCCACATCCACACCGTCAATCGAGAAAGATAATGTTGATTCTGTTGCCTCAACCATGTTATTGTATTTTCTTGTTTTGAGAAGCAATTGGAAGACGAATGGTTTTCAATAATTTAGAGAATTGTGTTTATACCATTGCTTGTTGATGAGTAATGCTTTACTCAATATTCTCACTGTTGACTGAAATCTCATTCATTTATCGAAATCCATCCTTCGAATTCAAGATCAGGTATGGGTATGTGCGAGTCTTAATTTCGATCACACACACACACCTACACCCACACCCTTCTATCCTATAAGCTTGAAATAATATATGGACTGGTGATGGTTATTCAGATGAACAGAGAAGGCTTATCAACAATACGTTTCACTTAAACTAAGATTATTTTGAGCTTCAGGTGAAGGAGCTTGTTAAAAACAGGTTCTCTTCGTCATTTTAAACCGTTCTTGAAGTCTTTCAAGAACAGAAAAGAGTTTCAGAACTTACTTCGGACGGATAATAATTCTGTCGGTTGTCACAACCAAAATGATCATAAAATATGATAATTTGTTACTTCTTTCGATGCTTACAAAGCATAATGGTATGTTTCTATTATTTATTAATTATTTTCCATAATCATGACAATAAAATAAACAGCAGAGTCTGATTCTGGGTCTCTTCAATGACTGATGTTGCAAGTATTTTACTCACTAGATCTGTTCAACCATACTAACGTGAGCGGCAACGATTTTCCAGCCATTACCAACATCTAAAATCGATCCTAATCTAGCCCAAGTCTGCATTTGTCGTCCCTGTAGCAACATCTCAGTATTGTTGTAGAACTCCGTACTGATTGTCGCAAAATTGGTGCCAAATGTTGTGATAATCGTATGATGAAGTCGCCGTTGTGGCGGTATCGGTTGAGCATTGGCGCGCCATTCGTAAATAGCCTCTGCACCGTACTGTATATCGGCAATTCCGTAACGAACCGTTTCAGGTGCGCTCCAAAATAGCATGTTCATCGTATTAATATCGTTATTAATTAAAGCGTGTTCATATTTGATAAAAGCTGCTCTTACTTGTTCCACCACTTCTGGTTTATTAACTTCTAAAGCCATTAAATATTATTTCACAACAAATTCACCTTTTTACCAGTGTTCTTGTTGATATAAGTGTGTTAGTTATCTCCAATATAACACAACGTGTGAGATATACCTTCATAAGAGCATCATCAAATATCTACTTTTTGTTATAACTTTATCTAACACTGACTTTATTTGTTAGTTGAAAATCATATTACTTATTAAACAAATCAAAAATGTTTCTGAAATTTTTGAAGTAGCAAACAGAGATACAACTTTCAAAAAGAAATCTCGAAGGAATGGTTATGGGCAACATTTTTGATGAACGAGATTCATTTAGTTTACTATGAAGTATAGAAAATAAGTATCTATTATTTAAATCAACTACAGTTCATTTAAACACTATTTTTTAATGCGTACTGAAAAGAAGAAATCTTTTCTTTCAAGGAATTTTCTGTGATTTTTACGGGTGCATTATTTTTTCTCTCATCTTCTAGGGTATGGATGTGCTTGTGCTTCTTTTCTTCACCCACACCCACCCCATATTCTTATGATTACTCAAATATTTCGAAATTATACTTCAATATCTTCGAATCTTATGTCACTTCATTTAGATATACATGGTAATGCTTCTGTATGTCGTTCTACAATTTTATCAATTTTTCGTGTTTGTAATAGAATTCGACATTTAGACTTAACAATAGAACACTAAAATTCAGTTGAAAATAATAATCTCAAGTCTGTTTTCAAGTAGTAAATATTTTAGATGACAAATCTGTAAAAGGATAATGATTAAAAATGAAAATAATGTTTGTTTTTTGTTTTAGTATTCAAAATTATCTTTTAATGATCATTCAATATTACAACGATTTGATATCTTTCAATTTAGAAATGTTTATTGTATGTGACGTTAATACAATTGCTTATATTTTACATTGTATCTCTAATCTTAATCGTTTTAATTTTTTTCTTTCGGGACAAATAAGAGCATTGTAATATTATCTTGAATTGTTCAATGTTTATTTATGTATGGCAAAACATATTAAAACATTATGTTCCATGTTGATCTAAATTTGAATTTCATATATTGATTTCTAAAACAATTTCAAAATTAAATTTAGATTTTATTATCAATTCATTTGAATATTTTGTCAAAAAATATCCTAATTAGAATTTGATTATTGATTGATGGAAACTTCAGGTAAACAAAATTAATTTAACGAATTAAAAATAATGAAAGATATGAATAAGATCTTACCGAAAAACTAATGTTTTTTGATAAATTTAAATTGTAAAAAAGAAATTTACATGAATTTTGTTAAGAGAAGAATTTCATTAACATGTAAAAATATATATTTCTTTTCCTTTTCTAGAAGAATTTGTCATATTACAAACACTTAATTATTGCAAATATGAATCAAATCTTAAGTCAATAAGTCCATATTTTAATTCTGAATCATATAAAATATGATCAACCAGAACAATAAATTATCATCATCTTTCTTTTTTGTTCAGATATAAAATATTTAAGAATATACTTGATAAAGACAAGATCAATTATTATTATTTTTATTTATTTAAAGAGAACAATTCACTTCATATTATAATATACAGATGATTTTAATAGTAGAATTTATTATTTTTTTCCTTTAGTTATCTTTCGTCAAACAACTGATGATGATGATGATGATGATGCACAACAAAATGTTACTTATCTTTCATATTTTATAGATTTATCCAATGTAACTGGATTAGATTTTGCGCTTAACATTTTGTATATATCAATGGAAAACTATTCAATTTATTATACAGTAAGTATTCTTTATATTTCTAGAAGATATTTTATTATTGATATTTTGAAAGAAGATATATATTATTTCATATTAGAAATAATATAATATTCGTATAAATAATAATCACTGATATTAAATGAAAATAATAATGAGGAAATTTTTTTGTTTGTTTTTGTTTTAGAGCATGTCCAAATGTGACTAAACTTGTAAATGATACTCGATTATTGATGTTATCAAGATTAATCGATAATTCATTAATTATTTCAATATTTAAACAAATTAAAATGATCAAATCAATAACAGAAAAATTTTATTTTCCTTCAAATTTTGCATTAAAATTTGTTCAACATTTTCCGTCACAATTTTATATTGAACTTCAAGTGTTTTCATTCGATAATTATGTGCCTATTATTAATATATTTCTTACTTATCTAAAAAAAAATTTAGTAAATGTTAAAATCTATTATTCTCAAAATACAATATTCGATAATACTTTTTTACCTGATTATATTATTGAAAAACGTCGACAAACTTTTCCTGATAATATCATTGATGAAAAAATAGTCTTTGTAACAAATAATGGAGAAGCGATAGGAATTTATTTAATGTGATTTTATGTAAATATAGATTTCTTTTTGTTGAAATAAAAATAAAAGAATTATGAAATGTAAAAGGTGTTGTTAAAGTAAATTTTGTTTGAAGTGGCAGAGATTATGTCCCAGCGTTCGATAGTTTAGAAAGTTAGCCAAGACGAAAGTCGATATTATCAATTGTTTGAGCTTGTTTTTAAATTAGAATTTTAGACGAATAATTCGTTAAACAATTTTAAGACACAGTTCATTCATTCACAATAACAAATACAAACATTGGAAGATAATTTCGAATAGTGAACATGATCATTTATGATGGTGAAAAGATGAATTTTAACGTTAATTTATGTCTGTCGATATTTTTTTGTCAAATATTAACCAATAGTGCTTGATATTGCATACGTTTCTTGAGGTTAATGAGAGTAAGTTGTGTTTTCTTTTGCAACAATCAATTTTCTATGTTGTAGTTTTTATGAATTCTTTTTTAATAATTTCTAGACATTGTTACTTATTTGAAGCTAATAAAAATTTGAAGATCTTCAATTGTCATCACTACCGATCAAAAACAGTGTCACGACTGGATAGCACCATTAAAATAACTGGTGAACCTTAGATCAACTGGGGTCATAAAAAGAACTACATAATGATGGTCTTGACTGCTAATCTGCATATCAAACTCTATATTCATTAAATTGAAGTACTATGATGATAGTAAAAATCTAAGTCAATTCAAAGACTGACAGGATCTCAGTCGATTGAGTTACATGTCTAATTGAAAGATAATATTTTCGAGTCTTGACTAGACATCTGAATATATCATTTTCGAATGATGTCTTATCTATTTTGATTTAACAAATATTCATTAATATATATATATCCCTTTCATATTTATTATGTTCATTTATTTGATATTTTCTAGATCTTAACCTAGTCATTCATCATCTAAAATCATTACTTAATGTAATGAAACTATGACGAATGAAACATTATACTAAGTTATGTCTTGTTCAACAAGTGTTAGATAGAAAATTTTCTGTACTCGATACTAAAACAAATATAATATATTTTATCACAAATAAATAAAACCATCTTGTTCTTGCTAATAATTCAGTTTATGTTAATCAATATTTTCTTGAACAAGATATGTCATATTTACATTCTATTATTAACTGATCCATGCTTGTTTTTGTACATTGAAAGAATCAATTCTTCATTTTAATTATAATATTTATCAAATTACACCAATAAAAAGTGAGAAAACTTCATCATATATTAGATGATATTCGAAATAATATACAGACATTGAACTATCATCAAGTAGCAATGTATGAAGAAAACAAAAAATTGAACAAGAACAATTATCTTTAGAAAAAAAAGCTGTCACATAGATTATGTATGTATTCGTCAATATCTTTGATTATGTTTTGTCAATGATATACTTCATCATCTTGATTTTTATATCATTGAAATGCAAATCAGTAAAGCGCGTCGATAGTATTTATCTTTGTAGAGCAGTTATCAAAGTCGGTTTTCATGTTCTGTTAACAAGATTCAACACAGTGGCGTAGTCAAGGATAGGGTCAATGGGCAATTGCCCAGCAATTTAAAAGTAATGGCCCATGATTTTTTTCAAATGATACCAATTGCCCATCGCCGAAAAATCTTGATACACATACATTTTGGAAAACCCAAATGCTTTTATTTTAATACATCATCTGTTGTTGTGATCTAATTGGAGGATTCAGAAAGATTAACTCACAATTTTTTTCATTGAGCCGACGTTCACAATGGCAACAATTCAACGATATTTTTGCTGTCAGAATACTCGTTATCCCAGTTAAGCTCGCCAATGAAGAATATCGATAAATGCTTGTCGATCTTTCTGATGGCATAAAATCTTATTGAACAGAAATAGTTGAGGTAATCTGAGCTAAAATCTTTGACTATGTAATAGGGTGTGGGGTGTAGGTGTGGAGTGTGCGTGTGGGTGGGGTGTAGATGTGACTGTGGGAGGGGTATGGCTATGGCTGTTGCTGTGGCTGCGTGTGGGAGTGTGTTTCTAATTATACCCAAATCCACACCTACACGCACCCCATACCCAACCCACATCCACACCCTTAAGAGGGATGAATTTCTGTTTAATAGACATCGGTCGGTTGTGGTGATCGCGATGAGTTTTAAAAAAATATAGCCCAATTGATTTTTAATTGCCCATTACGGCCAAGCCCTCACAGTAATTTAGCTGGGAAACGGCCCATTACTCAAAAATTCCTGGCTACGCCACTGATTCAACACTATCTTCGTATTCAAATTATTCGATTGATCTCAACTGAGGGAAAAGAATTCATTCAACATATACTGTTGTCATATATGTGCATATATATATAAATACAGGGCGTTTCCAAAAATCATGATCAAGCTTAATCCAACAATGTTTTTTTGTCTGAGAGAGAAGAGTAGTAAGTTTTCATTCGTAAAGACAGAATTCATAAATACCCTATAAAGACGATAACCTTTGACTGCAATACAAAAAGCTCGTATTTTGTTAATGCTAGAAAACAATATTCAAGGTTTTTATATATTTATTTCGATTTCTATCGTTATTATGAATTTTAAATCATTAACATCTCTTGTTATTGCTTTATTAGCATTCGTTTTCATATATTCTTTATGAAAAAAAATGCAACGACGCCAAGTTCAATGACAGTAAAAATCATGCTATCGTACGGTATTTTCACTCCATTGATTATCCAACGTTTTGCTATGTTAGGAAAAATCTGCTTTCAAAGAATCTTCTAGTCTATCGGTCTTTTTAAAATATGTCAAACAAAATGCTACTAAAGCAATAGTGAAAGATGTTGATAATTTAAAATTCATAATAACGATAGAAATCGAAAAAAATATATAAAAACCTTGAATATTGTTTTCTAGCATTGAAAAAATGCGAACTTTTTCGTATTGCAGTCAAAGGTTATCTCCTTTATAGGATATTTATGAATTCTGTCTTTAAGAATAAAAACTTACTACTCTCCTCTCTCAGACAAAAAGAAATCGTTGAATTAAGCTTGATCATGACTTTTGGGGACACCCTGTATATGTTATATATGATTCATCCAAACATTGGTTCGGTTTACATTCGAAAGTCGGAGATAATGTCTTAAGCAGCACAACAATACTCAATAGTATATCGAAACATATTATTTATGATATAATCGATAATTAATAATCGAAAACAGAACTTTTTACTTTTTTCATATGGTTCAGCGAAACTTCTTCAATCCACATTGATAGAGAACTTAAGTTGTTTTATCTCATCTTCATAGTTGGCTGCCGAGAAATCAAGGATAATAAGACATCATATATGTATAAGCAACATTCAGAATTTGAGATAGAGAGAGCATCAAATGATATAGGTACTTCTAAAACAAACATAATACAGCCGTGGAAAAGATAAAGTCTTAACGATAAGCTTTCTCCATGATTCACCAGATGTTCTGAAGAGATGTATTTCAAACTTATTAAATAAAAATGCTTTTCTTGATATGTACGAGCTGTGAGCAAGTTTTTCATCCGTTAACGATTTTTCCCTATCTTTCATTAATGTGCTTGGCGTTTTATTAAAAATAAAAATATGAAAACGCACTATAGCTTATACTGCTCAACAATAGGTTGGAAAAACTTCTCAGATTGTATCGAGTATTTTAAAGACTTCGTTCGAATTTTGAACACTTTTTTTCACTGCATGATCTTCATTAACAGTATAAAAATCCGTGTATCTTATCATGCTTGATATTGGGATCGTAAAAGAATAGCTTATCTACGTCATACAATTGATAGATGTCCTTTTTTGACAGACTCTTACTATTATTATGTGTTATCAGTAGAAAAGTTTGCATTTACAAACGTAACAAGTATTTTAAAAAATGATTGTTTCCATTTCTTCTTGTAATTCATTGTATTATTTTAATGATTGCTGTTTTGCATTTTATTTATTCAAATTTTGAATTATACTTCATCATATAAAAAAAAAACAATATTTATACGAAATTATTTCTCGCCTGAAAATGTTCTCAGGTGTCCATTCACTTGACAGTCGCGACTGTATGCGTTATATAGACTCTAATTAGTTATGAATACTATGAAAAGATTTTTTGAATTTTGACTTGAAACTTTACATTAAGGAAGACCACGATAAGAATAGCAGGATCTGCAGTTGTATATGAGCAATGTAAAAACCATGCTTTACCCATAAGCATATCTTAAGGGCGTAAGAAATTATTATCATTGTGATCTTTAATTCTCTGTGCAAAGTTTCAACTATTGATTGCAAAATATAATGTACTCTACTTTTTTTTGAATAACTTTTGATAGGAACATCATAGAAATCTCCGCTTTCCACTATTCAAAAGAGAAAACTCGGGACCAGCAAAGTATATCGTAATTTGATTGATCATCAGTTGACTTGGCTCGAACTAACCTGATACTATTATCTGAATTGTTACTATCAGTTATCATGCAATGGAGGAGTCGACATTTCGGAAATAGTGACATATCAGTTTCAGATTAATTCAAAGCTAAAAATAAATATTACCTTTCGACTTAACATAGTGAATGATCACAAGTCAATTGGCTGAAATCAAGGGTGACAAGAAAATGCTTATAACTCTCAAATGGAACAAGCTAGAAATGTCAGCCTTGCGTAGATAGACTGAGACGAAAATGGCTTCAGAATATCGTTTCTGAAAAACTCTTTGCACAGTATTCATAATTGATTAGGGCCTAAATAAAACATGTAGTTTCGAATCAAAGGTGAATTTACATTTGCCAATGATTCCATTGTTAGTTTTTATATCTAACTGTATGACTACGTTAATTAATGAACATAGAGCAACACTTTTACCTTGTTCTAATCTAAGGTTTATTTCTAAATTTCAATAAACGTAAGTTACGATTTAAATATTTACACAAAAGAAAATATGATCTAATTCAATAGATTGATTACTCCAACTGGGTTTAATATTTCTGAAAGTAATATATCACTAAAAACAACTTTACAAATTAATCTTGAACCTATTGTACTATCAGTATGAATAATAGATAATGCATATGTTGTTTTTAATTTCAGTATTTTTTCTTAAATTTTATCAAGGTCTGATATTCCTATTCTATTGTATTATGGCGAATGTGGTCGAGTAGGAGTTGTTAATAATGAAGGATCTAATCTTGTGTTTTATCTTCATTCATCATTTTTATTTCGCATACATTTTTTTTCTATGCTTAAAAAACTTCTTCTTCCCCTAAAACAGGAAAATGTTAGGAGCTGAAAAGGAAGAATTCGATGACCGGTTCTGCTCAATTATCCTTAGAATTAGAAAAATACGATCATCCGAATTACTTTTTGCAAGTTCTAACCATTCATCTGATTTTTTCTTGATATTTTTAGGCTTTTCTTGTTCGAGAACTTCTGATTTCAATGCATGAATTAAACAAAGGAAATTCGGATATAATTATTTATTATCCAGATATTAATCTAGAAAATTTTGTTTATACTCAATATGAGTGACGTGTAAAAATTATTGATTTAGAACATGTAACTATTGTTAAACGAAATTTATTTTTCAATACAAATGTTGATGATGATTATGAGAATAGTTATCGACATATAAATACTAGAATAGTTTTTTTGTAGATTTTTTGGTAAAATGTACTTTACTTGATTGTTTAGTTTGTCGGTATATTTTATTACTATCGATTGAAACCAATGAAAGAGCTATGTCAAGAGATTTTCTTCACAATATTCCTAAAAAGGTTAATCATCAATGGAATCTAGCAAATGTGATCTTAGTTGATGCACAAACTGAATCAACTAGTGAACGATTAGCTCTTTATGAGAAAATTCTGAAAATTTCAAGTAAAATAATGTAATATACTCAAGTAAAACGTGAAAGAGAGAGGCCGCTGCTAGCAATCGATGATTGTACGAATGTTGAGTAATGAGGCCAATAATGAGTAAATTATCAATGAATCATACCGTAACATGGACTATTTCCATTGAAAAGTATACGTGTCGTGAGACATAATATCACGAAACTATTTCTTATCTCTCTTGTTATTTATTGCTAAATATAAATCTGTTAAATAAATTATGTTTCAGGTGTTGATATCAGCTTGACAGTTGTCACATGAGTAAAGATAGAATAAATGAACTCAAGGAAGGTGTAAGGTTAATTTTATTTGTATTTTTAATATTATATATATATATATATTTGTTTTTCTATTTTGAAAGAGACCAAGTCGAAATGTTTTGTATACAAGACTATCGGGACAAGTATTAAACTTCTAACCGCGTGCAAAATATGCTCAATGGTGTAGGAAAAATAAAAACTTATCTTAACTAGTACAAAAAACAAAATCGAGAGGGCGAGTGATGTGTGTATTTTTGCTTAAATAATATGAATATCCTATGCATTGTTAGTTTGCTTATTTTATATTCAGTATATAAATAAGAGAAGAAAGCAACGCACAAACTTCATTTTAATTTTAATTTTTTTAATTTTTATAGCTTCCAAAGCAGGAAAATCAAAATGAAAATAGGCATTCTAAAATAAGTAACATTGATGATAATGGACCGACTCTGATTGATTTTCTACATGAAGTATAAATTTTGAGTCTTTTTTTTTTTATTTCAATAAACAAACAAGTTTAAATAGTTTATCTTTAGATCAAACTTATTCGATCGAATACGGATAAATTTGGTGAACTCATAGAAGAAGTTAAACGAATTCACGCTAAAATGTTTGAACCAATGGCAAATCCTAGTATGAAAAGAAAAAAAAACAACAAGATATTTTAATATATTCTCTTTCTTTATTTTTATATCTATAGAATTAGAACAAGAACTTGAGAATAAAAAAGAAGAAATAAATAAATTATCATCTGAGATTTCAACAAAACTTAACAGTAAAACACAACAAAAATATATTAGTATTTTATTATTGACGCATGTTTATTTTCTTATACAGAAATGGTACAAGCAAACCAAAATCGTGATGATAATGCTAAAAGCAATGCTCAATGGCGTGTAGAAGAATTACAAATATTTGATCTAACTAGCCATTTTCGTAATACAATGATTGCATATAATGAAGAAACTGTTGCACATCATGACCGATGTAAAAAAATTATTCTACGTACACTTGAAATATGTAAGTTATGAACAACAAAAAAACAAAATATTTATCTTCCACAAATTTTTATAACAATTATTTGACTTATGAATAACTTGGGATAGGAATAAATCTTTAGAATTTAAAAAAATATTCGACAAGATAAAATTCATATATATCTTATGTCATTTGCTAAACATTATGAAAACTTAACTTGTATTTCATAAAGAATACAGTATTAATAAATTATAATAAGAAAAGATTCTCAAGTATAAATCTCAAATGCATAGTCATTATGTAGTTATTGATAATATTCAAAATAGGTTTTATTTCATATTTTCAACAAAATCTATTATTCTAATCAAGAAGAATCAATAATAAATAGACTTTAGAATATCTACATTTGAATCTCAATCGGTCTGTTCGATCTCGCTGCTCATGGTTAATATTTCAATAGGTCAATTTGTCTTCGATGTTAAATCCAAATAACTATAGCAAATGGAAGAGCCTATATATAAAATGTTTCTCATAGAAATAACAAAATAAAACATTTTTTTTAAATATTTTGTTAATTATCAAGTAATAAAGTCTCAATTATGTAAATATAATATTATCTCGATTAGAGTTATTCATCTCGAAATTATTAAGATTTCGGATATTCAAAACAAAACAATCGAAAAAAGAAATTTCATTCAAACATATATTCATATGATTAATTCTTGTCTTTTTCATAGCTGGAACTCGAAAAACTAAAGATGAATTAGAAGTTATACTCGACAGAGGTTGTCCTGGAACATATAATTTTTCCGTAAGATTTTTTTTTGTTTTTATTTAATTTTAAACTTTTTCATTTTGTTTTCCAAAAAATCTAGATATTGGTTGATACGCAAAAAGCTAAACGATCATTAGAAGCCATAGAAACATGTCAACAGGATATAATTAAACTTGAAGATCGCATTAAAGAAATAAACAATATGTTCCGCGATTTAGCTATTCTTGTTGGAAATCAAGTAGATTTTTTTAATTTCTATAACTTTTTTTTAAAGTTCTTATAATAAAGGGTAATATGATCGATGACACCGATCGTCATGTATCAAAAGCAGATTCCTGCGTTGAACAAGCAACCATAAATATGAATAAAACTAAACTAAAGTCTAAAAAATCTGCTAAAGTAAAAAAAAATTCATTTTATATTAATATAATTTAAAACTATTTTATTTTTTTTTTATTATAGAACAAAGTTTATATTTTAATTATTCTAATCATAAGTTTTCTTCTTCTTATACTTCTTGGTTATTTTGTACAAAAACAAATTATGGGAAAATAAACAAATATCAATATTGAATTTCTTGCTGTTTTTGTTTCATATTCAATTAACCTATTTGTTAATTACTTAGTAGTATCTATTTTCTTTCGTACATGTGAAAAAGAGTGTGGGTGTGGGAGTATCTTCCCTTTACACAAACACCGACGCTAACACTCGAATAATTTTTTAATAGAAAAGAATAACATACTTATTACATGTTGCAAGACGATATGGAGCAATAATACATGTACCTCCTAAACCAATATTATGTTGAAGTTCAATGCAATCTCCTTTAACTTGTCGTTTATCAACTTGATTACGTTAAATTGCCAACAAAGTTCAGCACATTATGATAAACTTGTAGCACTTAATGGATGACCTTAAGAAATTAGACAACCATTAGGTTTGACTATATATTTTCCACCATGTACACTATCACTTTGTTCGACAAGTTCACTAGCTTTTCCTAAAAAAATTCGTTTTTTCAATAAATAAACTTAAGTATTTATTGATAAATATTTACCTTCTTCACAAAGAACAAGAGCTTCATATGTAATTTGTTCATTAGCCAAAAAAAATATAGAAAGATAAGTTTATTTTTAAATAGAACTTATGAGCCATGAATAGAAAATGATTCTAGTTCCTAGAATCATTTTTGGAGAGAGCTTATGTGTTCTAATATAGTGTCTTTTAAAATGGCGGATATACATGATTTACGTCATAGAACTTTGAGAAGTTTTTCTTTTCGAAATGCTATTCGAAACAAATTGAACTTGAAAATATCATGAATAATGCTTAGAGATAAAATAATTTGAATAAGTGTCCGGACGTCGAAATGCATTCATGCAATGGTAAGTTCCTATTTCTAGAGAATTCAAATGAAATCATTACGAGAAAAATTTCATGGAAATTAACTGCCATACTTTGACAAGTAAGCACCAAAAATTCATCTTATTAATGTAAACTATTCGTCAATATCTGATCTCTTCCCTTCTCTTAGACATTCTTTGTGGATGAACGCTTACATATGTAAAGTAGATAAAGACATTTTGAAGTTCGTAAACGTTACATCCACAAAAAATGAAGCATTATTTTTCTCAACATTTCACAAAACAAGTATGCTAACGAAGACTCGACAAATAGCACATAGAGAGAAATATATGACTACAGATATTATTTAACTTTCTCTATAAAAAAAGACAAATTGTTCACATCACGTTATCAGTAAGTCGAGTCGACATTTTGCGAGTACTAAAACGTCACATACTTGTCTATTCCTAGAAAATCTTATCTTAAAACTATTATTTTGTTGATAATACTCTAATAAATTCAAAAACTTCTATTCTCTTATAAATAGATCACCATTTAATTCTACAACTTGTACATGACTTGGTTTCATAGCAGCTTTTGCGTAAGCTTTTTCAGCAGTACATTTACTCATGTCATAACCGACCAAAATAAACTTTTTTAAAATTTATTTTCATAAGAAAATTCTTTTCTTTTTACTATTCGCATACAACCATTTGAATTGAATGTTGATGAAAGATCAATTGCCATTTCAATAGCAAAAATTTCAACAGCACTTTTTTGTGTTTCACGATATTTTTCAGTATAATTTTCACTAACAACGACAGTTGTTGCACTACCATTTCGTGTTGGACTTCAAGAAAAAGTATAATTTATTTAAAAGATACCTGTTTTGATTTTTACCAGCATTCTAATTTAGGGGAGTATTTGTAAAATACGCGAAGACTTATATCTTTTGCCAGTTAGTACATCTACTTGAGTTAGGTACACACCCAAAATAGCAGGGCTTTCTACGCTTGCCTAAGAAAAATAGTGCATATGAAAAAAGCAAATTTTTGGTAATTTTGGTGATTCATAACTTTTGATGGGAATGAAATAGATGTCTGAAATTTTTACTGTAGATAGAGAACTGAGAGATGTATATCCNCAATTGTTTGTACACTTCAATTTTTTCATTAAAATAGAAAACCATTATCTCTAATTCTATTTATTAATAAACGAATTTGAAACATTCTCGTATCTTAGTTCGGATCTTGTTCTTACGTACAAAGAAATTATTAATAAACAAATTCTATTAGATTTAACGCATCTATGGACATTTAATACGAATTTATTTTATCATTTAAAAATATTTTATCTATTAGATGTTTTGATAATGAAAATACATTCATGTTGATTGACATTAGACAATATGAAGAAAATCTTTTTATTTACATTTTTTTTTTACATCTTGGAAATGAAAATGAAACTGGTAAAATACAATAAATCATGATTGAAAAAGGTATTCAACATGATAAACAATTTGTATATGTATTGTTGACTTATCAAGTTTGAATGATATTTAATTTGATTGTTACTCTTGCATAATATTTTAAATGTTACTCTTACTTAGATTTTTATTTGTTTATCATATTTATTGTTTTCATTTTATTCCTAGTTGATTTAATGTTATAAATTACAAACGAGAAATATCTTAAAAATAAATAATAATGCAGAATATGAAAATATTTTTCAATTTAAAGTGATTAATTCGAATTATATTTAAGTGTGTATAAAGATTCATCGATTTTACATCAAGATAAATATTTTATATTTTATATCTAAATGAATAATTGATAATGATAAAATAAACAGATCTTTATTATTTATTACCAAAATAAATCAAATACAAGATGATTTCTATTATGTTGAATTTCGAGAACATGAGAAAAAGGATATTTTGAAATGTCAATTCAATAAATAAGTGTTAATGTTGATGAAATATTGTCGATCGGATATTGAAATAGATGACGATGATGTTCGATATCATGAAGATAATGTATGAACATAATCAGATGCAAAAAAATGATTTAGTTTTTTTCTTTAAGATGATCTTGTCAATTAGCTTTTTTGATTTATTGTATTTTAAGACAAGAAGATTGCATTCATCTATGATTATGAATGCACATATGTAAACGATCTTTGTTTTTACAGTGATTTCGCACAAAATGGACGATTAGTTGATATAGATGATCTGCAACATTTTGTCAAGAAAGATGTCGACTCTTCCAATTAAAATATATTATCAATATATATGATATTTATTATTGATCATCTAAGAAATTGAAATGATAATCTGGTATTGGTTTTTTTCTACTGGATTTTCTTCTGAGAAGACTGTACTTCGAGTGTAAAAATAATAATAAAAACCTTGAAAAATATTCACAAAAATACTTGATATGACATAGAAAGAAAAGGAAAATAGACATGGTAAAATTCTCTATTTGTTGATCTATCAAGCTGATGAATAAGAAAAATAATATCATCTCATAGCATCAATTGTCAACAAAAAGAACACTAACGCTTTATGCTTTTATTTATGATTTCAAATAAACAAAAACCAATTTTTATTTTATATTCATAGACGACGAATGGAAGAAATGAAAATAATTGCTGAACAAGAACGAAATGAACGTTTAGCTGAATGACAAAGAAAAACTGAAGCTGGTGAACCAGTTGATGATGAAGATGAAGCTGATGAAAAAGGTTTCAATAGATTTAGATTTGAATCTTTGTTTTTATAATTTATATTCATATAGAAATGGAACAAGCGATACTTTAAGATAGAAATTATGAACCAAAAAAAGATGATTTTATTGATAAAATTTCTGAAACAATACCAGAAGGTAATTTTTAGGTTTTCGAGATTCAAACAAACATCTGTGAATATAAGCTTGGACATCCTTTCATTAGTGGCAAAAAAAACTCAATCCGTTTGCTCGAATCCTAATAGAGATATTAAATTTTTTCTTTGTTACCTTACTTATGGAATATCCAGTATTAATTTCGAAAGTGGTTTAACAAGGATTTATAATTTTTTGAACTTGCTTATGAAAATCATATATGTTTTCTTTTTTTTTTAAAGAGAATGAATCAATGAGTAAAGAACCTGACAAAGATAAATCAAGTGGTATGTATTCTAAAGATTTTGTTTTTATTATCTGTTTCTATTGAATAAAACTATTAAAATAAATAGTCGCATCAGGGCTTGATCTTAATCGTGCTCCACCATCCATATCACCAATATCATTATATCAAGAAATTTTACCACCAGACGGTATTGAACAAGAAACATTTATTCAGCAAGTTCGTAGTGACATAATACGTATAAATGATGTAATGAAAACAATATCAAGTATTTATAATCTTGAACTAATTTATATTGAATTAATGAAAGAAGATGGAGAAAAATTAAAAACAAATGAAGAATTATTTCAAGAAGCTTATGATGCACTTGAAAGTATATATAATATTCTACAAGAATTCTTTTTTTGTTTTCTATGTAAAATTTTTCTTGTAGAACAATTTAAATATACCGTACTTGGAACATGAAAGTAATGAAGAAGCTGATGATAATGAAGAAGAAGAAGAAGAAAAAGAAAAAGAAAAAGAAATTGTAGATTTATTTAAAAGTGATCGAAAAAAACATCTTGGTGATACAAGTATTTATGATCCAGTTGCATTATTCGATAAAAATATTCTCGTACCTGGAAAACCAAATTTTACTCTTTCATATAAATCGAAAACATATCGTTTTGCTAATGAAGATAATCGAAGTTTATTGTTACAAACACCACTTAAATATCTAACAATGAATAAACCACCAAAAGTAATTATTTGATATTTTTTAATCAATGAACAAACTCTTCCTAGAATTTGAATTATCTGAAAAAAAATTTTGTTCTGTTTCTGGAAAATGACATTTGATTAATAGAATAAAATTTTTTCTATACTCGAAGGAGTCATCTCTCTCCCCAAAGGGAAAAGAACTGAATTGAATTGTAAAAATTGTATTTATTTTGATTAGTTACCTGCTATGCGTATAGTTATTATTGGACCTGAAGGTGCTGGTAAAAGTTTACATGGACGTGAATTAGCTATGAAATATAATACATTTCATATAAAATTTCGTGATCGTTTACAAGAATTAATTATTGGTAAAACGAAAATGAAAATAGGACCTGAATATAATGAAACACGAGATGAACCTGATCCGTAAGAATTAAAAATAAAATGCTATTTAAAATTTTATAATTTTTTTTAGAGAAGAAGGAGGAGAACAAAAAGCAGAAAAACCAATTGATGAAGTAAATAAAATTGATATTCTTTTTCTTTTTGACTGGTTTACTTTCTTAGACTGAAGAATTAACAGCTGAAGAAGAAAATATTAAAGCATATTTACAAGATGGTGAACTATTAGCATCTGAAATTCTTGATAAAATTGTTAAACCATGGTCGACAGAAGAACCATTTCGTTCACGTAGTATTGTTCTTGAAGGTTTTCCATCAACAGAAGATGAAACTGTTTATATGATTGATAATCAATGATTACCTGATATTGCTACACAACTTGATGCTGAAAGTAAAGATAGATTAAAAAGAATATTACCAAAACGTATGGAACAATGTAGAAATAAAATGCAATTAAGAAAAGAAAAAACGAATGAAAAATAAAGCAAAAAAAGATCGAGATAAGATTTGATAAAATAATACGTTATAAAAATTTTTATAAATTTCTATTTATAGAAAAAAGCGATGGATGAATGACGAGCTGAATTAATTCTTGAACGAGAAAAACGTATTGAAGCGGTAGGAATATATCAGAGGCGATGCGAAGAGTAAGGAACTGCAAAATCACTTTTTTTAGTCCAGGTCCCGGTCCCGGTCTTTGACAATGGTTTCATTTCTAAAATCGAGCAACTTTTTTTTACGATCTGCGTACTTTTATGAATACATAAAATTGACATGAATGATTTTGATTCGTTAAAAGTACGAAAATTCTTTTATGTCCAGTGTTAAAGTGAAAGAGTTTCACTGAAAGCTCGAATAAAAAAAAATAACCATTGAATTTTGTTAAAAATTCTCATGTACGTCGTAGCAGTCATTTACTTATTTCTCTCTTCTTTTATATCTACTGCTCTACCTAATGGATTTATTATGGAATTGATTATTTATACTGAGTAGTCATTACGATTGTCAAAAAAAAAATAAACGGCGATACATATCTATTTACTATTATCTGATAAGACTTCAATAAAGGAATCATCAAAGAATGAACAAATTAAACTTACATATATAGTGTTGTGTTGGTTGTTTTATATGTATTCAAAAACCTGTGCAATTGGAAAACTCAGATTCTTGCAAACAGACTCGTAATCAATAAAGAATTTTATAGAAATAGAAAATAAAAATATCTGATTTACAGATCTTAAATCATGTCAAAAGAATAAACGTGAAAATATGTTGCATAAAAACTGACCGAGACCACTTTGCAGTTCCCTAGCGAAGAGGTCGGACCAGGGGAGTATCCAAAAGTTGGAGAAAGTAGCGTAAAAGTTTTTCTACTTAGTAACAAGGCTCTCGATTGTTTTTAACAGTAATAAGGGGAGGGGGCCTAAATCGTTTTGGCAGACATGTCCTGGGAGACCAAGGCTGACCCAAATCAACCAACATCGGGAGGTGTAACATCGTTTCATAAATTTTCTCAGATACAATCAGTGCCCCATCAGAATACTGGACAAATTTTCCAGACAGTAGAGGAGACTACCCTCCCCCCCCTCCATCCTTCATCCTCCGCCAAGCCTTGCCGTTCACGCTGTTCCTGGAACATATTGAATAAAATAGTAAATAATGTGTTTTCTTTTAGGATGAAACAGTCCAAAATGATGAAATTGAAAATACACTAGCTAGTGAATTTCAAGTATATAAAATATAGATTTGAAAATTTAGAAAAAAATCCGTTCTTCATTATTTGCTTTTAGACTGAAGAAGAAGAAGGTGAAGCAACACAACAAGAAGAAGATGCTGATACAGCAAAAGGCCATATTGATGAAATGATTGAACAACAAGTTAATGATGCAAAAGAAAAAGCTGAAGGTGTTAAAGTATGTTAAATGAATTTGAATTGTAAAAAAGAATGAAAATCAAAATTATTGTTTTTAGAAAGTTTTTCAACAAGAATATGTTCCATTTTCAGTTGTTAAAGCATCAGATAAGCCACGTTATGTTAGAAATTGTATTAGCAAAAAAATTGAACGATTTACAGCATTACGTGAAAATTTATTTGAACGTGTTTATTCAATAAAAGCTCAATTAGCCCAAAAACTAATTGATATTGGATATTTGCATTATTCAAAATTTGGAAAATTTTGTCCTGTGTCAGTATGTCATTTTTCTTTTTATTTATTTCATAGATTTTTATTTTTTAATATATATTTAGTTGTATAATGGTGATTGTTATCCACCACCATTTGAACCTGATAAACCTCCTTGTACAGTTGTCAATCGAAAATATCTTTTATTATTTAACTGATGATGAAGCATGAAATGAATTTATTAAAAATCCAATGTTTTATATTTGTCAACCACCACCCAAATCACTTATTTCAGTTAAAATTGCTATTGTTTGTCCACCGAAATCTGGCAAAACTACCGGTTTGTTTAGTTTGTTTTTTTTTCTCACATATCTGAACTTTGTGTGAAAGTGTAGGCACATGCGTCTGCGTATCCTCACAGAGCTTAGTGTATTGAGATTAGAGTAACAACTTATCTTTTTATCTTTTTAAATAGTTGCCAAACGTATCGTACAAGAAATTGGATGTGTTCATATATCATTGGTGAGTTTAATTAATTAAGTCAAATTTCTTATGAATATATTTGATTAGGGTGATGCTATTCGATATATATTAGAAAAACAACATAATACAATTCTTGGTAAAGAAATGCAACAAGTACTTGTTAAAGGTAATGAAATAGGACCTGAAACAGCAATTCGTTGTTTGGAAGTTGCACTTATGAATACAAAATGTGAAACACGAGGGTATAAAATTCAAAAAACAAAAACATTAACTTAATCAATTATTATTGTTATTTCTTTGCATAGTTTTATTCTTGATGGATTTCCACTATCAAAAAAAACATGTTGAATTACTTGTTGAAAAAGGTATTATTCCATTTAAAGTATCCGAATTAGAATGTGATTTCACTGAATGCACAATACGAGCTATGAAAGATCGTAATGATCCAAAGTAAATTTCATTGAATTCTTTTTGTAATAGTTATTAAAAAAAAATTATTTTAGTCGACCATTTCCATTACGTGATAGTCCAGAAGCTATGGCGTATAAAAATGGTATATATCAACATGGAATTGTACCTGTACGCCAATGGTATACAGAAGAACATAAAAATGGGTTAGCTATTAATGCTAAAAATAATAAATGGTTTATTTGGAATAAAATTTTACAAGAAACATCAAATGTAACAAAAAAAAAATTCAAAATTATCTTGAAAGAAAATTATTGAATCAAGCTGCTGGTATTGCTGATTTATGTATATCACCACAAGAATTATTGAATCGTTTGGGAGAACATGAACATTATTGTCCTGTATCATTAACATTACGTGATGAACTTGTTGATTGTTCAGCTACAATAACAACCGATTATGTTGCCGAATATCAAGGTAAATAGGGATGTCGATATGAATAATAATAATCAAATAGTTTAAAAATATAGAGCTTTGTTGCCAATGTCAGTCTATGTAAAAGGAAAAGTTCTTTAAGCATTCTATAAGAAATTGATATTGCTCTGTGAAGACTTTTTGTATACAACTTTGATATTTGAAAGTCTAATGGCGCTATTTTACTCAATTCGTGTTTCTATTTCATATGTAAATTTAGGATAAATAAAAACTGTAATGTTTAATAACTAAACCAGTTATCTTTAGTCTCTGTCCGAGCCAGAGTTGGAACCGGTCCGGCCGAACCGGACCGGTTGAGATGGTCAGGCCAGCCAGTCTGTGCCGGTTTTTACCGCTTTAGAATTTTTTTTAGATATGCCATTTTGCGTTGATAAAACATGTTGAAAGCAAGTTTAAATGCATTTATCAAAAGAATCAAACAGTATTATTCAGAATTTCTCAATTTTATCTTCTTTCGATTGTTTGCACCTTTTTTATTTTTTAATCGAACTGTATTTCGCTTTGTCAAAAGCACAATAAAAAAAAAATGTGTTACTTGAGATGAACTTCTCAATTTATCTGGTTGATATATGTTAGAGACTAGATTTGAGTTTGAACTGTCTTTCTGAGAGAAACATAAGGTTTTTTTAGTAAAATTTAGGTGAAAAAAATCAAGATTTGTAGTTTAGAAATCAGTTGTCGGGTAAATTAACTTTTTTGCGCCAGAGAAACATCACATTCATTTCTGAGAAACCTTGAAACATAAACGACTATGACATGATATTTTCTCTTAAAGCTTCCTAAAATAGAAGCAAAAAAAGGAAACTGAATGATTTTAAAGCCATTTTCTTTAACCGATTAAAAATGATTTGGCAAGCCAACAGATTTTTACCGGTCTGAAAAAGCGTTTGAAATCGGCCGGTTTTTTGTTGGTATTTACCGGTTTGAAAAACTTTTGGAACCGGTCGATCGCCGGCTGGACCGGACCGATCTGAAATTTGAACCGGCCGAATGGGACCGGTTTGAATATTCCCGACCGGTTTCAACTCTGATCTGAGCTTGAAATTAAAATTAGATTTTGATCCGACTCAGAAAAAAACCTAATGCCAATTTTTTAGGACGATATTATCGTATGGCTGGTCCAAAAGAACTTCAACTATTTTTGGATGATTCTGAACGTTTTGCTCCAGTTGCACCTCGTAAATTACTACCAGCACCAAATCATCGACCACATCGACGAACTGAAGCAGAAGCAAAACCAATGTTTCCTAAACCTATTGAATTTGCTAGTTATTGGCCAGTAACTTATCTAGAGGGTGGTAAAAGATAAACACTTTTTCTTTTTTTATAACACTTTTTCAAATTTATTTTTATCATTTTTAAATACGAATGTCTTGTACTTGAAGAGCAAGAATTTCCTGTTGAATATCGTGATAAATTATATTTTCTATTAAATGAAGAAGTACGTGAAAAATTTATGAGGTTTCTTTTATTTTTTATTTAGTTGTGAAATTCTTTTTTTTCCTTCTCTTCTCTTAGACAACCAGAAAAATATTGGAATATTCGATTACCAAATAAACTTTCTCCACCAAAAACTCCAATTGATTTACTTAATTTACCATGTCTAGGTTATTTAGAACAAACAATAGCAACAGTAATTATAAAAAGTTTAACAGTAACAGGAACTTTTAAACCAAAATTTCCATTTTTATCTATTCAAGCATCAGCATTAATCTATATGGCATATCATCTTAAAGCTTATAATACAAAAAGTTCGGATTATATACGACGAAAATTTCGTAGAAAATTATATATATTTTTAAGAACAATGTGAACTTATTAGTTATTTAGCTGAAAAACCAACTGTACGTTATAAACCACCAGAATATAATGTCAAATATGAAACATTTTTTGTCTTACGACAAAATGTGCCTACATTAAATTGGTTAACATAAAAGCAAAAAGAAACAGAAGAACATTTGTTTTATGCCTTAAATAAATTTAGTAAAATCTTATTTTTTACTCTTAAATGTTTTTTTTTTATTTGGACAAAAAAATGAAGCTTTTAAACAGCTGCATCGGGTAATAAAAGACATATAACACTAATATTTGTTTTTGATTGTGCTAAAAGTGCTGCTGAAACAAGACGTTTAGCAATTGTTTATGCTAATTCAAGACGAAGACGATGTTGAACTGATAAAGAATTCCATATTTCTTGATGAATATCATCTTCAGAACATTGCACTGCACGATTACGTGTAGAAAAAAAAAATTTCATTATTACTAAATTGATTTTCTCCTTCAATTAAATATAACATTTCATTCATACAATCAGCTATAGTATCATCATCATTTGTTAAATAAGGGGTATGTGTTACTGTTCCATATCTTTCAAGTACAACAGATCGAATTGCTGTTTCCATACGACTGGATGCTGGCATATGATGTGTTAGTAAACACTATTTAATAGAACATAGAAATTTTTATGAAATTAAAGTTCTTTTTTTTCTTGTATTACTTGTGTAACAACATCAGCAACGATATCATATTGAAGAACTTGCCAAAGACCTTCTGTAGCTATTATGATGCATTCTAATAATGGATCAATTTCATATGTCCAATAATAAGGTGAATTGATAACACATTTTTTTTATATCTTTATCACCATGATTACCTAATCCACGTGTTGTTTCATGTATTCCAGCAATTAAATCATTTTCACTTATTTCTATACCTGCAAACAAATGAAGTATTTTCTTTTTATTTTAAGAAAAAACGTTATTACCTGTTTCTAATATTCTTTCACGTTCACGTTTATTTATTAATGTATGTTTTTGTGACATTTAAACAACTTCACCAGCTCGAATACCTAATGCTTCAACATTTCCTTTAAAAAAATGAAAACCATTTTCTATAAGAAACAAGAAAAAACTGAAATTTACCACAATGAGTTAGATAAAAAATAGATGACAAAAAGTTTTTTTCAATTTTTCATACCGAAACAATCAATAAATCTCATTGTATCTTCCATCAGATTTATATTGTTTATTTTGATTAGTACACATACTAATACTAAAAAACATTCGATTACGTGATGTAAAACTTATACCTAATATAATTAGTATTATCTACAAATATATATTTTAATAAGAAAATAAAAATCACCTTATACATTCGATGCTTCACGATTATCATATATACATAAATTATCTCCATAATAATAAGGTTCAATAGTTCGTTTTATAATTTGAAATGTATCATTAATAGTTTTAACATATTTCAAACAAGATTCTTCAGATATTCTTAAACGTTGTATAAGTAAATCTCGACGTTTAAGTACTACATCTATTCTATTTGGAATATCTTTTTTTTTTATAAAAAAGATTTTCAGTTGATGTTAATAAAGCTGCTCCTACTCTATTCAGTTAACACGAAAAATATATATCATGTAAATATTATCAAATCATACCGAAAGTGTGAATAAGGACAATAAGCTCTATATTTAGCCAAACGAGCTTCATCAAATAATTCTAAAGAAAAAAAGGTTTTACTAATATAGTAATAAAATTGTTTTTATTTAAAAATAAGTTATGCTTCTTGAATGTTATGTTTCTAAGTAACGCAATCTTTTCTTTTTTTTTTGAACTATTTTTTTTTGTTTGATTCTATTGAAGGCCTTCCCCCCCCCTCAAAAATCGATCTCAGGCCAGGAACGTCCAAATTGCATGAAACTTTCAGGGTATGTTGGGGTTGATGAGCCATGACTATAGTAAAATTTTCAGCCCTATAGCACGATGTTTAACAGAGATATTCTCCAAACAAGGGTCAAAAATAGCTCAATAATATCTCCAAGTTTTCTCAGTTGGTCTTCATTCTAGTCATTTAAATTTTTTTTTGTTTGAAAGAGCATGTCAGAATGTAGCCCCTCTCGTGGCCCTTTTTTAAAAATTCTTACTTTGTAAGAGAAGAAAAGGAATGACAAGTTCAATGACTCAAACAATTCCTAAAAAAAATGGCGCTGTTTCTATAGAGGTGTTCTCTTATATGATATTAAAAAGGCTTATTTTAAAAAAAGGGCCACGAGGGGGGCTAGCCTTAGACACAAGCTTTCAAACAAAAAAAAATATTTGACTTTAGCTCTTACTGTGATAGAGTTCTGCTGGAGATACGTCGTTGAATCCACGTTCTGAGAAAAACGAAAAATGATTTTCGGTTTTTTGTAAAAATGGCTTGTTTTTCGAATAGGGCGTGACGAAAATCTTCCAAAATTTTTGGAAAAAAAGCGGCGCTGAGTAAAAGTTTTTGTCATTTATGAAAGAGTAGATGACGGGCTATTTTTCCATGAATTTATCTCAATTTCGATCATTTTGGGGAAAAGTGACTGTTTTTTGGGGGAGGGGGGAGGGAAGGCCTTGAATATAAAATAAACCAGTAAAATATCCTGAATAAATCAATTATGTCATAACTAAGACAGCCATTTCGAAAACATATTTATTTTGTGCCTCTCTTTAATGGTATTCTCCGAGTATTACCATATCTATTAGTTAACGAATCATCTGATAGAATCATTATGTTCTTCAGGCTCAATGATCGAGTTCGTCTAGCTTTCACCATGTCTATATTGTATTTCATACACACTACGGTCGGTCATTTTTCTATTGTTTAAGTATAATATATAATAGCGTATTATTTGACTTCACAAACATTCATTCGAAAAAATTTTGTTTTGAACGAAACACTGATTTTTTTTTGCCTTGTAGAAATGACTGATATAATGGACCTTTTCGTGTATGCTCTCAACGACTTTGACATTGGAAATTTGAAAGAAGCTATTAAAGTAAGTGGGCAGGATTATTGTAATGCATAGTGACTGCTGTTGATAATTTTAGACAATTACTACTATTATTGATAGTTATAAAAATTCAATAGCAGAAACGGATAAGAAGATTGTTATTAGATGTTTACAATATCGACTACAGGCTAATTTTGACGATGAAAATTATAAAGGTAAGCAATTAATTTTTAGAAATAAATAAAATCCATGAATTATAATTTTCTTGATTTTTATCTGATTGCTCGATATATTCTGATAAAACACTTATAGAATCTTCTTGCCTTTTCGCTAAACTATAGTTTTCTTTAGATACATTAACTGATCTTAAACAACTGAAGAATCTCGGATTCAACGTACGTGATAATGAAATATTAAATCCAATACTTATGTAAGTTAACAATTTGATTTCAAACAATATCCACAACCATTTTTTTAGTCAATGTCGATTGAATTGTTCCATTATCAATGCAAAGGAAGAGCTGGAAGCAGGTGAAAGAAAATGTAAGTACATCTGTCTTGAGACTTCATATCTATTATCGAACATGACTCGTAGGCGAGTATCATCTTGCTTTGTAACGTAACGCTAATCAAACCATATTAGATATCTATTCCATCTGTAATTAAATAATCGTTATGATTTGAACACAAATTGTCACTTGCTCTTAAAAGTTTATCAGAATCACAGAAAATTATCATACACGTGAAATGTTTTTCTCAATAATATTCTCGACTAGTTCATTCTTATATATTGAATCTGTGAAAAGATGCTCTAAATTCTCTTTCAACTACTTGAAACTATAGACTGCTATATGCCACTCTTCCTAAGGTATTCATTTTACATTGGCTTATTTTATTTTGAGTCCAAGATTATTTTCACGCTTTATAAGCATCTTTCGAACAAGGTTTTTTTTTTATTAACAATACACTTAATTTGTCCTTTTATTTTAGTTAGGTCAAAATGGTACTCGAATTGCTTGTCGAAATTTGAAAAGTTTAACTGCAGCTTTTTGTTTGTGGAGTAAGTTATATAAACTTCAAAATTCAATTGAGATTAATCGAAAACAATAAAGGGAAAAAGCTTTTGATTTCAGGCTAATAAAACACATAATTTAATCGAAGTAATGCAGTGAGCTTTACTTGCTCATGAGTAATGCGAAAAGATTTTTCATACAATTTCAATTTTACTTTTTTTTAAATGAATATATTTATTAACTGTATTTGTTTTTTGTTTCTAGAAAATCAGGAAAACGAACAGCTACAGATTCAAGAACTTGTAAAAGACAAAAAAAAAATTAAACAAAAAGATCCATATTTGTGTACATTCCGAATATGGTGCATTAGATTTACATGATATTCTTATGTGAAAAAAACTTCTTATCCAATATTTAATCAATTAGATTGACATTATTCTACTATTCTATTGATTTAATCCTATTACCAATTATTGTGTAGATTTAGTTCTTTATTCTCTTTTCTTTTGGTGTTCTTGAATCATGTTGAACTACAAAAATATCAATAAGAAAACATTGATTAATTACCAGAAATAATTCAATACAAAATGAAAAACAATATCTATTCATAAAGGTATCAATCATCTGCAAGCATTGATTGCTTTTATTATGTATATATATATATATATATATATATATACCTCTTCATTATCAATAAATGAAAATATTTTAATAGATGCTTCATTTCTTATATATTCATATGATGAAATGAAATTTTGTATATCATCATTAGTGGAACAATTTCTATTGAATATTATCAATGAACAGAATTATTTTCAATAGGTGTAAGGTAGAATAGAAAATCAGATGAACAATTTGTTTTTAAGAATTTGCTTTTTTTTAAAGGTTCTCTTACAGATGAACATGATCCATACAATAAAATTATCATATGACTTAATAAATATAAAACAATTTCCACAAACATTTATTAACGAATCGATATATGAATAATTTTGAATGATCTACCTTATTGAATCAAACACATGTTTATTTTGTTGCAATCTTCAATATCTAAAATCGTGTGTCAATTATTGTCTGTTCATTATATATTTGTAACTTTTTTATCAAAAAGTCAGATATCAAAAAATAACTTAATGTTTATTTCACATGTAAATGCTTTATGTGAATAGTATTTGTTTTTCTTTGTTTAAAATTTCTTCTTATTTAATCAAAGAATAAAGTTGTTTGTTCCATCTGGTTCATATACAAAATTTTTTCGTATTACTAATACAAAAGTAAAGATAGTTGTATTATCGATTATAGAAATAGCTCAACATATGAAATCAGTATAATGATTAAAGATTAGACGTCAAGAAAAATTCTAGTGTTAAAAGTATTAAGTTTAAATAAGAGATTTTTTTAAGTGCATGCGAGGTTTATAGTAATAGTTATTTCGTTAAATAAGTAAGATATGAGCTAAATAATGATGGTATTTGTTTATTAGAATAATTATTAAAAATAAAAATAAAAATCTCTTCTAAACAATGCTGCTACGCATATTTATAAATTATTTTACATTTTCTTCATTATCATGCTTCAATTGAATTCTTCCAACAGTTGTTTTAATATGTTTTAATGATAAAATGAAGTCTGAAGTACACTTACTTTATTGATTTTTTTCAATTAAATTATGAAATATTATTTCATTTTAATTATAAAAGAAACAAATCGATTGGAAATCAAACGTATTAAATGTTAGAGAACGGTATTATTTCGTAAGCTTTGATTTATTGTGTTAATGTTGATTTATTCTGAATGATAGAAATATCCAAGATGTTACAATGATTTATTTTGCTGGAATTTTTTAATAGTATTAGATTTATGTTGCGATAAAAAAACATGAATTCTAATTACATTTATCGTGAATTATGGTACAACAAGCTTTGCCTTTATTCTACATTAGATCTTAACTTTTGCTTTCATAATCTTATGATTAATATATTATCCGCTTGAATTCGTTTTGTGATAGAACAAGTATTCCATTACAAATCTCTGTGTTATAATTAGCTAAGAAATCGATTTTGACATTTTCAACTCTAATTCCTAAATCAATCGTTTTTACAATGATCTATCTCCAAAAATGTGTTAATAATAATGAATGGCTTTGTTAACTTGTACATTATCGAATTTAACTATTATCTTCGATTCATATTTAAATGATTAAACAGCATTTTTTCAGCATGAAGAAGTATCGAAATAAACTTCTTCGTTTTCGTTCTCAATCTCTTGATGATTATGAAAACAAGCTTCAACTTATTTTAAGAGTTATAAATGATGCAATTCTTTATTATAATGAAGCAAAGAAACGCTCGTAATCATCAATTTGCTCTTCAATTATGACTCACGTAAGAAAAACATTCGTGATATATATTAATGAGAAAGATATGTCAGCTGACGCTTTGATCATCTAAGTTTCGTCATCATTATCGATTATAAAGCCTAATTCTTTTAATTTTAAGCAGTCGTTGATAATCACTAGAACAAAAGAGGTTAGTTCAGTTTATAGTTTCAAAACAGAAAGAAAAAATGGCATTATCTGATATTCTACTAAGAACGACACTGATTTCTAAATAATTAATTCATACAATGATTTATCTTTTCGACTAAATCTTCAAATTCACAAGTAGAGAGATTGCAAATTGTCAGATTCATTTAAGATACTGTTCTATTTTCGAATTCTATTTCTCAAGATATCAAGTCAAGGCTTATTGTAAAAAAATTTAGATAACACTATTTACTAAGATAACTACTTCAGTATACACTGTAAAAAAAAAGGTACTTTATCGAACCCTCCAAAAAGGTTTCGTATTTTCTTACGAAACCTTTTATCGCTGTACGGAACTTTAAAAAGGTTTCGTAGGAGATGGTTCGGAGAGTATACCCGCGCTCAGATCCGTTTAAGGTTTCATAGATTTTAACAACCATTTTTTTAAGCCTTTGAATGCATTTGGAAGCTTTTAGACACCTACGAAACCTTTTTGGAGGGTTCGGTAAAGTACCTTTTTTTTACAGTGTATATATATGTTGTTTACTTTGATAAGCCTCCAATTGAACAATAGCTAATATACAATATTTCATACATAAAACCAGTTGACTTTTTTCTATCTGCGAAATGTGATTTATGATACTGGTTAATATCTAAAATATTTTAACAAAGATAAAAGGCTAATAGTCAGTGTTATATAAAAACTTCGATAGTTTCGTCAAACTTTTCATATTCTATTGTATACAGATATTCAATCAATGTATTTTTTTGAATTATTCATCATGTATAATATATACGGTAGATTATTATTGAGAAAAAAAGTATGATGAACATTGAGAGTGTGGATGCAGTTCTTGCTTAACCAACACCCATATCCCGCTCACACCCATCCGCACTAATGCCGTCCCGCACCCTTTGAACTATTAAGTTCCAAGAGAATACAGCTAATGTTCTGTCACAATGATTACATTAGCTAAAAGATCCTTAACTTTCTTGGGTTGGAAAATAACTCAACCAAACTTAATAGTATCAGATATTTATACTTTACATATCACCAATCAGCTACGTAAAATTCGAAGACATATAAATAGCGATAAAAAATTTCGTTTTGGTCAAAGCGTGTTAAGACAAACTAAACTTTAATTGAAAAAAGTGGAGAACTCTGCAACTTCCTAGATTTAATTAGCCTTGAATTAAAGCTGAAAAAAACTTAATATAGATATATAAGACCAATTCTTTATTCTTAAGTTTTTCGATTTTCTTTAAATATTGAAATCTTTTAAAAACTTTATTTTAGCCTAAATCTCATCCTTTCTCTGAGACATATACTTGGACTAAAGAAGTGAAACAGTGTGGATGAACAGAACAAAATAAAACATAGTTTTCGAAATAATATTGGTTAACGATTTTGATGAGAGCACAAAATCTTGCTCTCAACAAGTTTTATGCAAAAAAAATGGTTTATCTGAAAAACATTTTTAAACCGGTAAAAACTGGTGAAAATCGGCGGTTCAGTCCGGTTACAAATCTGACCCACATTCCACACTATTCTTTTTCCATAGTAATAACTTCATCTAACAAAAGCTGACTGCCGATGTCTGCTTCTAGCGTAGTTACCTTTTTACACATTTATATAGATATATATTTTTTTTCAGAATTTCATGATAATACATTCTATAAAATGTTTTCTGGGATGCAAATGGAAATAATATCAAGTTTTAGATAAAAAAAGAGCTTTTAAGATTCTTTTTTGGTATTGTTTTAATGTTCAATATCATGGGTGATGAATAAATTCACATGGAAGCGGCTTCCATTAGCAACAGTTAATTATACACTAGTTCTTTTTTTTTCTTATGACCCTTTAAATGTGCCTCAATATCATTTAACATTTAAAAAAATGTGAAGACATCACACATTAGACATTCGATACATCAATAAACATTCAGTGTGTGTTGTGTTCAAATATTTTCGCAAGTTTTTCATAACTATGTTCAAAGTTGATTTCTTCCCAATATTATTTGAATTTCACATTATAAGTAGAAAAGCACAGTAAACATCATTTGGACATATCATCTGAGTTGAGTCATTGGGTTCAAATTTTTACACCCGAACTCGGTTCATTAATTTTTTCCAGATTCGAATCCGATTCGTTCTCAGAATATTCTCAATACATTTTTTAATCCATCTTGATAGTCGCTCCAAAGATGTAAGATAGTTTCTTTTAGCTTATTTTGATTTAACAATTAACACGCCCTACACGTTTCTGAGAGCATATGGATCGTGATCATATAAAAATGTGGACATAATTGACCGTCACTTTTATAGTAGTAACTGTCAGATCAGACCTGGACCCGACCCGACGTGCTCTACACTAGAGTCTGTGTTTTTTTTAAATGTAAGTGTCTATATGAATTCTTTTCATATTTTACGAAATTTCTTTTTGGTGTATTTCTTGACGTTTCCATTCTATCATAATTTGTCGAGAAATTTCGTATTAATGTTTGTCATTTAATTCTAAGTATTTGTTCTTAAATCCTCGATAAATATCACTTCGAATATTTATATATAGTTGGTACAATTGATCGACTTTCCGCAGCAATTCTTCGGTAAGAAATCTCGATTGGAAAAATCTTTCTCTTTGTATTTAATTTGAAAAATACATATTCATTTTATTTTTAATTAAATACTTATAAATATATTGTTTAATAAACAAGTAGGAAGTCAATGTTCATATAATCTTTTTAAGTAGGCATGCAGGAAACCCAAACTTCAGTTCATAGGTCAGATTGAACAGTTTAAGTCGCACCGAGTATTTCGAGAGTTTTTCAAGCAGTTCTTGAAGCATATCAACGATTATAAAAACATCCTAAGGTCAGGTTTGGATATTTCCGAACACCATTTATTGGTTTCTTTTTTAAAGTCTGCTACCTTTTCGTTTTTGGTTTATTTACTTTACTATCTGTACACCTATCATCGCTAAATGTGAAAGCCTTTATTTTGCTTTACTTCAACTTGATAGTTTTATTATTTGAGTGAAAATGACTGTATTCAAGATCAAAGCCGAACGTTCGAGTTTGCTGCATGCCAAGTTTTTCCGTAAGAATTAAATTGTTCTAGAAAAGTTTTACAATATGTTTATTAACATTGTCTTTAATCTATTAAGTATTTAAATGGAACTCGTGATATAATCTTTCTTAATAATAGAAAAGTGATAGTTGTTGCTTCTAATTATAATAGATAACTCTTATTTTTCAATCAAACAGATAATGTGTCTAAAAGTTATAATTTTATTTATAAACAATTAGTTAACTATAAATATTTACATGGAATGCGCTATGTAAATGATTGTTATTTTTACGTAATATCATCGAGTAGCAATATAATTTATTCATATTCTACTATTAAAAATACCATAATGTGGATGGAAAAGATTTTTCTTTATGCTAATTCAACATTGCTACCATATCAAGGATATCATTTAACAACTGATGAATGCAATCGTTATTGGTTCTCATTAGGATTATATGGTATTCAGATTTTTAATAGTCAAGGTTTACTAATTGGAGATATTACTCAAAAGTCTTCATTTATCTTTGAAATGCTAATTTCAGAAAATTATGTGATTTATTTATCAAATACAATATTAAATCAAATTCGTATTGATTTAACCATACAATGTTGATATCAAATTGAGCGAACGACAAAAGCATTTTTATGAGAGAAACTTTTGATTGTACAAAGAATAGACATTGTTGTTGTTTAGAAATGTGAACTTATCAGTATTGAACAAATAAAAATTTTATACATATAATACTTCAAGGAAAAATATTTGCGCTACATAAAGCATTGAAATAATTTGATAAATGACTCTCTTATTAGGGAATTCAATACCCAAGAATGGTGTCACTGTGGAATGTCCCAAGCAGATTGAGAGGAGGTGCGTGAGTGAAGGTTGTTGTAGGTGTGGATGTGAGGTTATGGAGGTCCACAAAAAAGTACTTCCACCCACATTGAAATCAACACAGTACACGCATCCCCACAACCTAGCTTGTTTAGCTCAAAAGTAACGTGGGCTACTTTGAGACTCATGATTTTGCCTTGTTGATCTTCTATGACTTAACAAAAAACCAATCCAGACCTATTTTGCCACATTGAGCCGAGTTTTGATGTATATTTTGACTTTCCTAGTGATTGCTACTGAAATATCGAAACAATTGTATATACGTTATGCATAATGTCGACTCTTTCTCTCTTTTATGTAAATTCACCAATCAAATTCTTACAATTCTCGATGAAAAGCAACACTCATTCGTTCGATCAACATTTATCGATTTTATCTGCGTCCCATATGTAAGTTTCATATTGATTACACTCTGTCATCAATATCATATGATTTCGCAGTATAAGAATACATTCTAAAACAATGCAATACTTCGACCCAAATTTGATTGTAATCATTATTCATAATGTTGAACTCGTCAATTGTTTGACAGTATTAAGCATAGTCATAAGACACGAGTGGTGACAGGCAAACTTGCGTACTTCCTTTTTTTTACAAATATCGATTAAGGGCGAAAAGGGGATGGGTGAACATAGGTGTGAATTTTATCTTAGCTCACCCACACCTACGCTCACACCCTCCCTGAGGATTCCATATAGGAATTTTCCGAGGAGTTTTTCAAGGGATCCACTGGGAACTCTTCTAAGGAAAGTTGACTAGGAAATAATTTTTTTTCAATTGATGCTAATGAAGCTCCATAGCAAATGAATGTCATAGAACAAATTTTAAGATGGTTTGAAAAACGTGAAATAGATAACGCTCACTTCTCTTTCGTAAATTTCTTAACATCTTTTGGTAGGTCTCATGCAGATCTATTGATTGATATGAAATCTGAAGTAGACTATTACCATTAGAGAAGAGCACTAAATGATATACGATGTGAATCATATCCTTATACAGGGACAGACAAGGAATAATCTTTTCTCATACACTATTCAATAGAGAACTGAAAGGAGTTAATTTTACATTTAGAAGGGCTGAATATATGAGCACATGAATGGAGCAAGCAAAAACTATCCATTGCAGCTATAAGGACAGCTAATCATAAATAAGGAATCAAATAAATAACTAAATGATCAATCGACAATGATCTTTAAAAACATGCTAATGCACGTTAATAGAGTTCTCATAGTGATGAATTTTACTATGTCAGCTTGATTAGAGTAAAATGTAAATATCTTTTAGAAAAAAGTGTTTTGTGATAAATTGTAAAAACGATCTTATTGAACATACATGCATACACATGTTGCGCAGATCGACCAAGAAAAAATAGCTTCAGCATATCGTTTCTGAAAACCTCTTTTCATAGTATTCGTAACTAATTACGGTCTAAATAACGCATGTAGTTCTGAATCAAGGGTGAATTGACATCTGCGAATGTTCCCATCGTTAGTTTATATACCCAGCTGTATAAAAACGTTAATCAATTGACAAATAGTATCAGTGACAGATTCTTTTACATTAAATGCAATTTAGATTCACACGAACTTGTCGAATTCGATGGTTTCTTACTCTTTTTGTTGTTTTAATTATTTTATTTTTATTAATTAATAAATGGCTGATTTATACATCATCAAGTATTGCTTTTCTTGAAGTAAATGCTTGCCCAGCTTGTTTTGGTATAAGTCTATGTCATGTATTTGAAACAAATGCTGTTGAATTATCAGGTTTGATAGAGAAAAACATGAATCAAATTTTATTTCTATCATCTAGAATTTATATAGGTTGGCAACGTTTTTCATTTTTTAATAATGATATGTTTAATATAAAAAATATTTATTATGGTACACTAAAAAATCAACCAGTTATTTTTAAAAAAATGGCCCATCAAAGTGAATGGATAAAGTTTGATGGTTGTCGTCAGAATCGGTCATGTTTTCAACAAGTAGAAACAACTTTAACAACACTTTTACCTTGTTCTAATCCAACCTTTATTTCTAAGTTTCAAAATGCGTAAGTCAAAAATGTAAATATTTGCACAAAAAGAAAATATGATCTAATTCAATAGATATATTACTTCAACTGGTTTTAACATTTCTCAAAGTAAAATATCATTAGAAACAACTTTGCAAATCAATCTTGAACCTATTGTACTATCAGTATGGATAATAAATAATGAATCTATTTTTCTTTTATTTCAGTATTTTTTTCTTAGACTTTATCTGATTCTGGTCTTCCTATTCCATTGTATTATGGCGCATGTGGCCGAGTGGCAGTTGTTAGTAATGAAGGATATAATCTTGTTTTTTATCTTCATTCATCATTTCAATTTCGTGTATGTTTTTTTTTCTATGCTTAAGAAACTTTTTCTTTCTCTAAAACAGGAAAATGGTAGGAGCTAGAAAGAAGGAATTCAGCGGTCGACTCTGCTCAGTTACCCCTAGAACTAGAAAAATACGATCATCGGATTCCTGCTTCCAAGTTCTTATCATTCATCCGAGTTTTTTTTTGATATTTTTAGGCTTTTCTTGCTCGAGAACTTCTTATTTCAATGCATGAATTGAACACAGGAAATTCAGATATAATTATTTATTATCCAGATATTAATTTAGAAAATTTTGTCTATAATCAATATGAACGACGTGTGAAAATTATTGATTTAGAATATGTAACTATTGTTGAACGAAATTTATTTTCCAATACAAATCTTGATGATGATTATGAGAATAGTCATCGAAAAGCATTGCATTCAAATAAATATTGTAGTATATATATGCCTGATTACAATGTAAAACAAGGTAATATATATAAATACTAGAATAGTTTTTTTTGTAGTTTTTTTGATAAAATGTACTTTACTTCATTGTTTAGTTTGTCGTTATATTTTATTACCATCGATTGAAACGAATGAAAGAGATATGTCAAGTGATTTTCTTCACAGTATTCCTGAAACTGTTAATCATCAATGGAACTTAACAAACGTGATTTTAGCATGTGCACAAACAGAATCAACTAGTGAACGATTAGCTTTCTATGAGCAACTTCTGAAAATTTTAAGTAAAATGATGTAATGTACTCAAGTGAAAAAATGAAAGAGAGAGGACGCTGTTCGACAATCGATGATTTTACGAATGTTGAAGGATTGGTCCAATAATGATTAAATTATCAATGAATCATATCGTAGCATGGGTTATTTGAATTGAAACGTATACATGTCATGAAAAATAATATAACGAGACTATTTCTTATCTCTCTCGTTATTTATTGCTAAATAAAAATCTATTAAATAAATTATGTTTCTGTTGTTGATGACAGCTTGACAGTTGTCACATGACTAAAGATCGAATAGAAGAACTCGAAAAAGATGTAAGATTAAATTTATTTCGGTTTTTAATATTATATATGTACTTGTTTTTCTATTTGCAAAGAAATCATGGCCAAATGTTTCGTATAGAAGACTATCGCGACAAGTATTAAACTTCTAACCGCGTGCAAAATATGCTCATAGTTTAGGAAAAATAAAAACTTATCTTAACTAATACAACAAACAAAATCGAGAGGGCGAGTGGTGTGTGTATTATTGCTTAACTAACATCATTACCTTATGCACTTTTTGTTTGCTTATATTGTATTCATTACATATAAATACGAGAACAAAGAAACGAACAAACTGTATTTTATTTTTTTAATTTTAATTTTTGTTTTTTTATAGCTTCCAAATCAGGAAAGTCAAAATGAAAATAGTCATTCTACAACGATTAACATTGATGATAATGAAGCGGCTGTGACAGATTTTCTATATGAAGTATAAATTTTGAGTCTATTTTTTTTTTTGTTTCAATAAACAAACATGTTTAAATAGTTTATCTTTAGATTGATCTTATTCGATCAAATATTGATAAAATTGATGAACTCATAGAAGAAGTTAAACGAATTCATGTTGAAATGCTCGAAGCAATGGCAAATCCTAGTATGAAGGGAAAATCAACATCGAGAGATTTTAATATATTCTATTTCTATAGAATTAGGACAAGAGCTTGACGATAAAAAAGAACAAATAAAAAAATTATCATATGATGTTTCAACAAAACTTAAGAGTAAAACACAACAAAAACAAATTCTTGTTTCAAGATTGATCTATGTTTATTTTATGATATAGAAATGGAACAAGCAAAAGAAAGTCGTGATGAGCATGATAAAACAAATGCTCAATGGCGTATAAAAGAATCACAAATATTTGTATTAACTAGACGTTTACGTGATACAATGGTTGCATATAATCAAGAAACTATTGCACATCGCGATCGATGTAAAAAAATTATTGTACGCGAACTTGAAATATGTAAGTTATAAACGAAAAAAAAAAAAACAAAACATTTATCTTCCACGAATTTCTTATAACAAATATTTGTCGTTTAAAAACATGAATTTCTTCATTGTAAAAAAAAAAATAGAATAAATAAATGATTCATAGTATCAATTTTTAAATAATCGAAATTTTTTTATCGGTGAATATTTGACTTATGAATAGTGTGGGACAGTAATAAATTTTTAGGATTTAAAAAAAAATCCGATAAGATAAAATTCATACATATCTTATATCATTTGCTAAACATCATTAAAACTTAACATGCATTTCGTCAGGAATAAATTAATAATAAATTATAATAAGCAAAGGATCTCAAGTATAAATCTCAATTACACAATCATTGTATACTTATTGATAATATTCAAAATAGATTTTATTACATACCTTCAACAATATCCATTATTCTAATCGAAAAGAATCAATAGTAAATAGACTTTAGAATACCTTTATTTAAATCTCAATCGATATGTTCGATCTCGATGTTCATGGTTAATATTTCCATGGATCAATATTATCTCTGATGGTAAATCCGAATAACTATAGTAAATGAAAGAAACTATATATAAAATGTTTCTCATAGAAATAATGAAATGAAACATTTTGTTTTTCTTAGATTTTGTTCATTATCATGTAATAATATCTCAATTATGTAAACATAATATTATCTTGATTAGAGTTATTCATTTCGAAATTCGATAATCTGCTTTAATGTGAAAAACCTTAATAAGTTAAAATTAAACAATTAATCATATTTCAAATTTGAAAAAAAATAATAATCGAAAAAAGGAATACCATTCAAATATATATTGATATGATTTATTTTTGTCTTTTTCATAGCTGGAAATCGAAAGACTACTGATGAATTAGAAGATATACTCGACAGCGATTTTCCTGGAACATTTAATGTGTCCGTAAGAGTTATTTTTTTATTTAATTTTAACATTTTTCATTTTATTCTCTATAAATCTAGATATTAGTCGATACGCAAAAAGCTAAACAGTCATTAGATGCAATTGAAGCACGTCATCGGGATATAATAAAGCTTGAAACTTGTATTAAAGAATTACACAGTATGTTTCAAGATTTAGCTATGCTTGTTGCAAATCAAGTAGAACTTTTTTGTATTTTGATAATTTTATTTCTTCAAAATTTCTAATAATAAAGGGTGAAATGATTGATTCCATCGAACATAATGTATCAAAAGCAGCAGACTATGTAGAAGATGCAAAACAAAATGTAAATATTGCTCATATATATGCTAAAAAATCTGCTAAAGTAAGAAAAAATTCATTTTGTATTAATATAATTTAAAATTAATTTATTCGTTTTTTTTGTTCTTATAGAAAAAAGTTTGTATTTTTATTATTCTAATTACAAGTATCCTTCTTATTCTTATTATTATACTTATTGCTTATTTTACACAAAGAAAACTTATAGGAAAATAAACAAATATCAATATTGGGTTTCTTTCTTTTTTGTTTCATGTTCAACTAACCTATCTATTAAACTAATATTTCTTTTCTTTTGTACATATATAAAGTAGAGATCAGGATGAATATGTTTTTTTTTTGTCGTTTATTAATTTAAAAAAATCAATTTAAAATCAATAAATACGAGTTTTTTTCAAATTGAATCACAGTTTCGAATTAACACGAGGTCTAGAAAATAAAAATTTGTATTTCTAATTATTTTTTAATAAAAAAAAAACATACTTATTAAATGTTGCAAGACGATATATAGCAACAATACATGCACCTCCTAAACCAATATTATGTTGAAGTCCAATACGAGCTCCTTTAACTTGTCGTTTATCAGCTTGATTACGTAATTGCCAACACAGTTCAGCACATTGTGCTAAACCTGTAGCACCTAATGGATGACCTTTAGAAATTAAACCACCACTGGGATTGACAACATATTTTCCACCATATGTATTATCACCTCGTTCAACAAGTTCACCAGCTTTTCCTAAAAAGAATTTTTTTCAATAAATAAACTTAAATATTTACTGATCAATATTTACCTTCTTCGCAAAGACCAAGAGCTTCATATGTAATTAGTTCATTAGCCGAAAAACAATCTAGAAAGAAAAGTTTATTTTTAAATAGAACTTATGATTCATACATAGAGGACGGCCAGTTTCTAAAAATTTTTTCGAAAAGGTCCTATTTGTTGTAATATACTGTTTGTTTTAAATGACTGGCACAAATGATTTATATCGTAAAAACTCTAGAAAGTTGTTGTTTTGAAATGCTAATCAAAACAAATTTAACTTGAAAATTTCGTGAAAAATTGTTAGAAAACCACAAAAGAATCGTAATCAACGTTCGGATGTCAAAATGTGTCTATACGATGGTAAATTTCTATTTCTAGGACATTCAAATGAAATGGCTATGAGAAAAATTTCATCGAAATTAAATGCCGTACTTTGAGAAATAAACACAGAAAATTCATCTTATTACTGTCAACTATTCACAAATACCTATTTTAATTTATCTTTCACTTCTGAAAGATATTTCAAGTAAAACGTGAAGTAGTTCACAATTGTGTAAGTGAAAACAAAAGATAAAATTGATATAAGAGTGTGAGTACGGGTATTACCAGCACCGGAACTATAGTTTATATTTAAATATGCTATGGTTTTAAAGCAAACTATCTTCTAAATCATAACTAGAGAAAGATTACCCAAAAAAGTGCTAAGTATTGAAGAATTTCTTAAAATATGACGAGAATGAATTCTGAAATAATTTTTTTCTAAACAGACACTAACATCAAGACTGTCAAAAAAGATCTTGATCTTGTACATCTCTATTGTGGACCCTTGTTTCGTGAAAAGTGAAATTTATCATTTCCTCAATGCATCTGATCCTTTCTCTTGAACATTCTTCGTGGATGAATTCTTATACATGCGAAGCAGATAAAAACATTTTCAAGTTCGTAAACTTTACATTCATCAAAAATTGAGCATTATCTTTCTTAACATGTCACAAGATATCACTACAGGCGACTAATTGATTATCTACATAATTAATACGCCCTAAGTAGATATGTCAACGAAAACTGAACAAATAGCATGTAGAGACAAACATTTGCCTACAGGTATTATGTAACTGTGAGAAAACAAAAAAAGGTGCACTCATAGTTAAATTCTTTCTATGAAAAAGCATATCGTTCGCATCACGTTATCAGTGAGTCGAAATTCTTGAGTACTAAACCTTCACATGACTTGTTTATTCCTAGAAAATTTTGTCTTAATACTATTATTTTGTCATCGATACTCAATTAATTTTAAATCTCTACTATCTTATAAATAGATTACCATGTAATTCTACAACTTGCACATCACTTGGTTTAATACCAGCTTTTGCATAAGCTTTTTCAGCAGCACGTTTAGCCATATCATAACCGACCTAAATAATTTTTTTTTTCAAATTTATTTTCTTAAGAAATTTTCTTCTTGTTTTTTACTATTTTCATGCAATCATTTGAATCGAATGTTGATGGAAGATCAGTTGCCATTTCAATAGCGAGAATTTCAACAGCATGTTTTTGTACTTCAGGGTGTTTTTCTATATAATTTTCACTAACAATAACAGCTGCTGCACCACCATCTGATGTTGGACTTTAAGAAAAATTATAATTTATTTAGATAGAAGATATATGTTTTGATTTTTACCAGCATTGTAACTTAGTTAATGGTTCATGAACCATGGGTGACTTTTTGATTTCTTCTAATGAATATTCATCACGAAATTGTGAATATCTAATAGTAAGACTGTGAAAAAAATTTTCGAAACAGATTTTTTTTAAATTACGGATTGTTTATTGAATGTTTATGATTTTTCCATGCAATTTTAGCAAATACATCCGGTGAAATTTCTATTCAAAACGAAAATTATATTTGTGATTTTTTTTTTGGACGAATAACTTACTATATTTTTTCATATAATCACGAGCAGCATTACCAAAAAGTTGAGCAGCAGCTGGTGAATTTGAAAATTCATAGATTTCTGACATTGTTTCAATATGTCTATCCATTGGATTTGTACGATCAGAAAACTTTCAAAAATACAACAAAATATGATTAGGAAGGAAAAAAAAGAAAATCTCATTTACTGTTGATGATAATGAACCACGTTGCATTTTTTCAAAACCAAGAGCCAATACACAATCAGCTAAACCTTAACCATACAAAAAAACATTATAATTACCGAGAAAAGCTACAGTTCATGTATTTTCATACCCCCTGCAATATGTCTAGCAGCTAAATAGAGGGCAGATGAACCTATGAAAAACAAGACAAAAATAGCATTTAATGAAGGAAATATATGGTCTAACCAGTAGAACAATTGTTATTGACATTGACAATAGGTAAACCAGTCATACCAAGTGGATAAAGAGCACGTTGACCACATGTGCTATCACCTTGAACAAATATACATATTGGATAATATAGAGATGCACTACGTCATGTAAATTCTTATAAGCTATGAATACCCTGAAAAGAGTTCGGACTCTTCGTTTAGTGCCGCTGAGAAACTGCACTTTTACGATTTTTCTTAAGTCAATATCGAGAAGAATAGTTAATTGTGAAAGTTTAAGATTCATAGCTATACCATAGGATAGTATTTTCGAAAATGAGGTTTTTTAGTGTACCTCAGAAGGAATAATACGATATCCATCTAAAAAAATACCGTACAAATGCAATACTTCGATAGCAATGAGCAAAAGTCCTGAACTCTTTTCAATGTACCCATAGCTCGTTAGGGTTTACATGACGCACATTGTCTCGATTTGAAAGTGATTGATCAGTTGGAGGACTTCCCTTGTGAGATAAATTTCAAATGAAATATTTCGATTGTGTAAATTTAATATTTTTCCTATAGATTAAAAAATAAGACTCATGCTTGAATTATATACTTGCACATAGAATAGGGTTTATGAAATAGTGAGAGAAATTCGAAATTAAAATTAACATTAATACTTTGCATTAATAAATAATAAATGCTTTAGTGTAATAATGAATAAAAGAAATGATATGTTGTTTATATGAAAAATTCAGTTTCCTTTAACCTCAATACTTCAATTTCATATATGACTAACTGAAATCATACTGAATCCATACATAGAGATTGTTTGCACAAAGTTTTAATAATCTTGAAACCATCAATGTACACAGCTCTTGTTTGGTTTTATTCAAAAAGAAGAGAAAGCCTCCTGAATTCAGCAAGAAATCAGTTACAAGTAACAAGTAAACTTTTTTTTTCTTGAAAACATAAATGAAACAGTTTTTTTGCTGTAAAAAATAGGTTGACTTTCCTTAAGTATTCAAATAAGACTTTCTATTTCAAAGAAATTCAATGACGCTCTATGTGAAGTCAAGAAAAGTTTTCAAAGAGAAATTTTAAATGCAAGACTAAACCTAATAGAAGGAAATCGTCCGATTTCTCTCTTCAAATCGAATGGCTTTCGTACAGAAATATTATACTATTTTCACCGAAATTGACAACACTTTCTATAATATCCTATAACACTTATAACACAGAACTAATTTCTAATATTTAGAAAAACAAAACAGTTTAATTTTTTTTTGTACCATAAACATAGCCAACAAAAGCTTGTTCAAAATCTTGATATAATACTCCAGCATCTTTAACAGCATTTGTAACAGCTTCCTTAGCCATATCTGGATAATCAAAATTTTCTCGTCGGCCTGGTTTTTCAAACTAAAAATTATTCAACATTGCATAACAAATGGAATTCTTCCACAGCAAAAACTTTCTCAACCTTGGTCATACCAACACCAATAACAAAAACCCGATTAAGTGCTCGATTCATGTTGAAGTATTTGCCAATAGATCAACTGATACACACCTACCAAAACAAAAGACCTTATTTCTTTTTTTCTTATCTATCAACTTGCATCTTAGATAAAAATGATGACTCATCGATTGATTCTGATTGGTTAAAATTCTTTGTTAATAGTGCACAAATGTTTTGATTATGAATGCAGTAAAGCAAGAAAAAAAGCAAATGTCAACTTCAATGGCATTCTATCATGAATAGTTTGTTGGCTAGTATTCCAATACATATTGAATAATGATTCATCGAGTTTCTTTTTTTTTGTTTCTAGTTTCTATACAACAAATCGGGTGTATATAAATCGATATGTCATAATTTTTTTTGTTTCAGATTTCTTCAAATGTCATGATTTGTCTAAAAGAAATCTAAATCAAATACGACTATATTTATTCAATGACAAAAGATCGATTGCCCGCTTTGCGGGCTGTAAGTTTTTCTTGTTGCATTTTTATTTCATTTAAACTAATTAATTGAAATAAAATTTTAGGCACAAAATACTGAAGATAGCGATCCAGATGCCGCCTATGTCGCGCTTAATATGGATGATAATAGTCGTTTTATGTCCGATTTTTTTGCTCATGTTGATTCATTACGAACAAATATCGATAAAATAAGTGAACTTGTCGATGAAGTTAAACGTCTTCATTCAACAATCTTAGCAGCACCACAAGCTGATGATCGAACAAAAGAAGAATTAGAAGAAAAAATGGCTGATATTAAAAAATTAGCTAATGATGTTCGACTAAGATTAAAAAGTAAGAAGAATTAAAAGAAAGTTTCAAAAAAAAAATTCAAATCGAGATATTCTTATTCTAACGAATAAATAAAATTTAGCTATGGAAACTGAAATAGAACAAGAAGGAAATGAAAATGCATGGCGTACAGCCGATATGCGTATACGAAAAACACAGGTGCCACTTTTGTTTTCAATATTGTTTAAATCTGTACATATATATATATATACATATTTGTTTGTTTTAAATGTTGTTTTGTTTTGTGATTATTTGTTCCTTTTTTTTATCCCCATATTACAGAAATGGAAGATGATCAAGAACAAACATCAAGTACCAGTCAAGCACAAACACGAATTGGAAAAGCACAGGTAGTAAATAAAAATGATATATTGACGACACAATACGACGATGTATTAGATTCTTCTTCATTTCTTTATAATTTTTGGTGGTTTTTGTTGTTCACAAATTTGAATAGAAAAATAAGTTTTATTTTTTATTTTGTTTTCATTTAATTTAGCATGCAACATTATCACGTAAATTTATTGATGTAATGAATTCATATCGAAATGCTGAAATTGAATATCGAGAACGATGTAAAGCTCGTATTCAACGTCAACTTGAAATCAGTGAGAAATAACTAAATATCTTATCCTCGTATTGTGTCGTTTATGCTTGATGTTAATGTTGTTTTTTGTATTCTATGTTGTTTTGTGTTTCATAGTTATTTGTTTTAACACAAAGATTTCGTGAAGTTATGAATGATTATAATCAAGTACAGGTGGCCTATCGACAAAAATGCAAAGAGAGAATACAGCGACAGCTTGAGATCAGTGAGAAACTTTTGTTTTTCTTGCTTTTAATATTGTTTTTATTTATATTAATTCATTTAAATTATAAAACATTATTAAATTACTTTAGCCGGACGATCAGTAACTGATGGTGAAGTTGAAGAAATGCTTGAATCTGGAAATCCAGCTGTATTTACACAAGGCGTAAGATTAGGCGAAAACAAAACAAAAAACTTGAATTAGAATTTTCTATATAAAATATAATATAGATTATGGTTGAAACTGCACAAGCTAAACAATCACTTGCCGATATTGAAGCACGACATGGTGATATTATAAAATTAGAAAAAAGTATTAAAGAATTACATGATATGTTTATTGATATGGCTGCTCTTGTTCAAACACAAGTAAAATTTATTTTCGTTTTATTTGAATTTCAAAATGACTTGTTTCTTTTTGCTTTATAGGGTGAAATGATTGATCGAATTGAATTTAATGTAGTTCAATCAGAAAATTTTGTCAAAGCTGCAAGTACAGATACAAAGAAAGCAGTTAAATTTCAAAGTGCAGCCCGACGGGTAAGTTATTATAAAGCTCACAAAAACAAAGCACATCTGTGTTGTGAATGTAAAAATGCATGCTGTCTAAATGTTGATGAAAAGCTTTTTTTTATATTCTACTGATCTATAATTCATAATGCTGATGATTCAATAGGGATTCGAAGTCATTTTTCATTATTTTCAATAATCATAATAAATAAGAACTATTTATTTAGAAAAAAATTATTCTTATTTTAATCCTGGTGATTGTTGTAATTATTATTGTGCTCATACTTGTAATTTATTTTGTAACGAAAAAATCTTGAAACAGCTCATCATAATCAAAAAGAAAAAAAAACCATAATCAATGCTATATCAGAATAGTTAGATATTACATAAGAAAGTTAAATCTCAATGCTCTCAACGCTCGCGACATGGCTGTAAAATTTGAAAAATAAAAGAAAGATAAAAAATAAGACGACTGTAAACAATTTTTCGTTCTGTTTCTTTTTTCCTATTTGAAGAAATTAATTATCTGTCTCGTAATTACTATTATATTGGTCGTCATCGTGGTGATGATTGTAGCAATCGTCTTATCAAAAAAGAAAAAATAATAATTAGGCTTCTTTTTATTATTTCGTTTTATTTTTTAATTTATGTATAATTTTTGAATCCATGAATAGTCCTTTTTGAATGATTGATATTTTTTTTATTTGAAATAATTATAAGAGAATTTATTGCACAGATATGTATGCTTAATGTCTTTCTTATATTTTGCTTCATATTTTTTTTTTAATGTTTTGTGTGTCTATATGTGCATGTGATTAAGTACAATTTACATTTATATTATTATTCATTTATTTATTTTTATTGTATTTTTGTTGCTTGTTTATTTGTCATATTCATTGAATTACACGTATTTATATAAATCAAAAAAAGAAAAGAAAAGAAATGAACAGTGTATCATGCTTCGCACAAACCCTATACTGTTTAGCTTTATTGTTAAGTAAGTCAAAAAAAAGTCAATGTATTCATATAATGATTATTGACTGTTCGTAGTGTTTGCTATTTGCTTTGTGCGCCTGTTAAGATCCGAATCGTCATTAACTAAGAATGATCTAACACCATTCAGTCTTTCTTTTTCTCATCGCTTATTGTCTTCCGGTTCGTTGCCTACGACTATTAAATTATCCTTAGTCTTTTTTTCTTTTCCTCATCATTACTAACAGTCAGTAGTCTGATATATCCACTTCAAAATACACATAATATATTCTTTATTATGAAAAAAGAAAAAAGAGTGTTGCCTATTCATGGTAATTCACAATATGTCGGCGTTCATTGCTCATTTAATAATCGTTCTCACTTTAAAAGCAATGCGATAAGTGAAAAATACAAAATAGAAAAGAAAGAAAGAAAAACTTTGTAGCTATTCAATATATTTTATTTCTTTGATTTTAGCGATCTTTATTTGTATATATGTTTGTTGGCGTTTTGTCTGCATGTTGTTGTATTGTATTTTGCTGAGAATTTATAAAACAGAGAAAAGAAAAGAGAAACATGGAATGATTTTGTGTTTTAGAAAAAAATTATTATACTTATTTGTTTGGCTGTAATTATTGTTATTCTCGGATCGATGGTCGCCGGATGGCTTGGCATCAAAAGATAGCGTAAGTTGATGAGAGAAAAAAACTAAATGTTACTGAATTAAAAAGTTTTTTTTTATTCGAGTCCGAGACAATAGGGAAATCTATCAATATAGATTTCCGTTGATAGAACTTCGTAATTATAATTTGACTTTTGTCTTTCTTGAATATGACAAAACAGGAAGTGAGAATGACGATAAATCTTGATTATGATACATAATTTAAATAGCCAAAGGAATGACAAAATCTTAATTGGATGGTACTCTTTTCTTTTAGCAATATTACTATCAAATTAGTTTTTCTCCGGAAAAATCTCTTTCTGATTTTTACATGTAAAACATGAATAATTGATGATTTTCATAGACTAAAAAAATGCATTGGTTCACTCATTGTTAATTACTTTATTTTTATTTTTAGATATGTTCAAATCAAATCATAGGACTGTGGCTCTATCAATTTTAATAAATTTCCAATTTTTAGTTCTTTGTTTCCCTAGGCCATATATATATATTTATAAGCAAAAAAGAACAGCACTTTTATGTTCTTTTCTTTAATGTTCGTACGAATATTAGCATGTACTAGATCATAATGATTGATAAATTCAATCAATTAAAATTAAAAAAATTCGTTTTTTTTTTGTCGCTTTTTGTCTACGTATGTGTTATGTCAGTCAAGTCAGATGAGTGTGCGTTATGTTTTTCTTTTTTTTGTAAAACTTCGAGATCTGAAGATAAATTCCAGGAGTCTTTTTTTTTGTTTGTTTGTTTGTTTATTTATTTTATTTCATTTGGATAATTATGCAAAGAAGTAGGGGGAAAAAAGCAAATTACAAAAATTCTTGCACTCTTTTTATGCCTCTTGTGAGTCTATTGTTGTGTGCACACATGCGCGCGCTTTTTATCATGTATTTTCTTTTCTTTTTTTCCATGTCTGTGTAATGCAGTTTGGTCTATCTAGTCTGTCGGTTCCCGCAATTCTATTCTTTTTTTCTCTCACTCTTTTTTTTTCTCTTTGAACACGCACACATATTACCCTTCTTTTTTCCCAAATAGATTATTATTTTTGTTTTCCATGCACAGAAAATAATAAAGGTGGACGAGCAATGTATTTACGCACGACAAAACAAAGAAAAACAGCTTGAAATAATCGGATTGAGAGACATACAATCACAGGATGTCTGACTTCTTCGTTGTTTCGTCTTTCGAATACATGAAAAGAAAATCTAATCGATTAAAATGTAATTTAGTTAGAAAAGAAAAAAGGTTTATTAAAAAAAAAAATTAATCCGATTTTAAATATGGTTCAAGCCATTTTTCATATGCAGATAGTTTGACATAAACGCCCGGAGCTATATGTGGTGTAATTGCCGAACCATATGATGTTATACCAAGAACAATCCAACGACCATCAGATTGACGTATAAGTAAAGGTCCACCTGAATCACCACTCTATTTAATGAAATAATTAGTTTCGTAAATGAATACTTAAAATTAATTTACCATTGTATCTGTTCGTTGATCATAATCACCGGCACAAATTTCTGTTGTTGGATCAAATATATTACCATATGCGCGATGACAATAATCATTATCAAAAATACGTACATCAGCTACAATTACAAAAAAATAATTTTTCTTTTTACTTTTCCGAGAATTGAATTTAGTCACAATTAGATGAAAAGATCTTTTTCTTTTTTTCCCTTTAAGTTTAATATTTCTTTAAATTGATTCGATCGTTTTCTTTGAAGAAAAACTACAATTTAGATTATTCTTCCGTTACAATTACAATGGAAGAATTAGGGCGGCACCCCTCTGAACATCGAGTTGAGTTTGTCGGAGTTTTAAAACGCCCTTTCGGCGGAACGAGAAGATCTGAATAAAATACAGTTTTAAACAGCTATCAAAGATGTAAAATTTGTAATGATGATTTATATTTCATCCTTCTTGAAACTTCTGAATCTTACCCTGTTGTAAAGTAAAACTTTTAATAATATTTGTCATTGGATTTTGTGAACTCTCACCCCATCCAATAATAACACCTGTACGATTAATTAAATCATGATCATTTTCAAGAGAAACTTCTTGTTGAAATGGTAAACAAACAGAATTTATTTTAGGTCCAAAAAGTATAGATTTTGTTAATTTAATCACCGCTAAATCATATTTACAACAAGTTTCAAATTTCGGATGTCGATGTATTGATTTAATTGAATAATAATTTAATGGATTTAATTTTCCAAGTATAGTATGTACACCAACGATTGCTTTGACTTCATTAGCTGTTGTATGTAGTAAACAATGTGCAGCTGTTAAAATTGTATTTTCATTAACAAGTACACCTGCACAACTCCAACCATGACGTGGATTTGAAAATAGTGCAACCATCCATGGCCTGACAAAAAAAAAATCACAATACAGATGCTCATTTTTTTTTTCGATAAAAAGTAAATCAAAATGATGGGTTTTATATTTCATCGTCTTCTTACCATGTATGCCAAATTGCATCATCACCACCTTTGATTTTTGATATAATATTTGCTCGTTTATTATAAATCATTGGTTCATCATCAATAGCATATCCACAACCTCTTGTCGTCATTAAATGATGTGTTGATTGTGAGTGGCCAATAAAAAAAGCTCGAAAACGATAAAAAAGTTCGAAAATTTGACTTTTTACTTTATCTGCTGTTCGAGATAATTTCTTCATAAATTTTCCAAATTCTGATGCTTCAACATGTGTTATAGTATTTAAAATAATAACGAGTAAAATAAGATTCATCTTACGAGACATGTCTACGAAAGATTAGTATGTCTCGTTTGGACCAATATTACCATCTGCTCTCAGACCCGTAAGATATACAAAACATTTCTTTTCTTTTCTTCGTTTTTTTTTTTTTTCTTCTTTTTTGATCCAAGATCATACATGGATAAATAATGATTGATAGAGAGAAAGGAAGAAGAAGAAGAAAAAAACGGACGCGACATGACTATGTACAAACATCTGTTCTTTCTCTTCTTCTTTTTTTTTTTTGCTTTATCATGTTCAATGAAGAGTTATTACGTATATATGCAAAAATAAAAATGCAAGACTTATCGATAGAAATATCTTTTTATTAAATAAAGGAAACGGGAAATAAAATTTTCTTTTTTTTGTGTTAGTCCAATATTTTTTTTCAAACATTGATTGCAAAGATAGAAACAAAATTTGATTAACACAAATCGATTATATATAATTTAGTCACATTTGAACAATAGAAGCATTAATTGATAGATTAATTTTTTCTCTTATGTGTTAAAAGAGATATTTTTCTGCTTTTATATTGTACAAATGTGAGACTTTTTTGTAATTTCTTACAAATTAAATCATTTAGACTTCGGTTTTTTAAAGTCAGATCTTCATATTGTTACATTTATACGATTGATTGATTTGTGGGAAAAACAAAATGTATTCCAGCTGATGAAAATAACCTTCATATATATATATATATCTGCAAATAATTATTGAGTCATTTATTATTTCATGATAAACACACATCTATGCAAAAAAAAAAGAAGGACAATAACGAAGAAAATGTATTGCTACAAATTTTTCTTATAACTTTTTTATTCTTCAGTTATTTGTATGACCTATCCTAACTCAATAGGTCATCATATGACCTATGATACTGGTTATGATGTTACATGACAATGATAAATAACCTTGTTATAATAGAACTTGTCAAGTGCAAAAGTTGTTCGTTTGTTTTCTTCGTTGTCTAATAAAGAGATATACAGTTTGGTCAGTAATAATAGAATTCTTATTTATTACAAAAGGAAAATTGAACACAATATTTTTTTTTACAATGAAACATAAAGACAAGATATATTATTATTTCATTGATTGAATTTACATTAAAGTTGGGTGATTTAAAGAATAATATAAAATATTGAATTGTTATAGTTCTTTTTCAGATAAAATGACGATAAGTTATATATTCTTGGCTACAACACAAAGTAGAATAACGAAACATATCTATCATCTTATATATTATTCATTGTATAAGTATTACTGTTATCTAATAATAAGAATTTTTGAGTAGAAATTGAAATCACAAGCAAAAAAGATTTATGGAAAATATGATTGAGAAAGTTCTTGCATATTTATAGCGATAAGTATCTGTTACATAAATATATGATTTTTGTTTTTGATATTGAAAAGCTACAAAAAAAAAAATTGTGAAATTATTTATAAGCAGATCAAAATAGAATATTACAGGCTGATGATGATCGTTTTTAACTTTTATTCTGAAAAAGTCGAATATTTAACTTTAAATTATACTAATAAAATTTATTCCATACTTGGAAAAACAAATCGACAATTTTAAATTACACAAAATTATTATTATTTTTTATAAATGTATTTCCAACAAAAGTATTTTCACCAATAGCAAATTATAATACACTTCTAAAAATAAACTTGTAGTTGCTTTCTCTGTGTGGAATATAATGCATAATAAATATTTTAAACGAATGTGAATACCTGTAGTCTCATTCATTCTTATTTCTATCATTTTATCAGATTATTCAATTCACAGATTCTGTTGATCCTAAAGGGACATATGACTAACATGTTAGAAGATTATGTTAATAACACAAGAAGAAAAAAAGAATAACTGATAGATATGAGAAATAAAAAACATAAATACAAGAAGTTTTCAGAATATTTTAAACAATATATAAATTCTTTTGTATTCAGTACTATCACTGAGTCTACTACGTCGTGCTATAACATCTATCTGGTAGTCAATATGAACACATCAGTGTGTGGAATGGAATCGATTTGATCTTCGTCGATATTGGATATTTAAATCCTCGTTTTTTTTTGTTATCGAATGCTTTGAACATTTAGCCACGATTATTCTATTAAAAGACTTTCATCAGGTTAATTAACAAGGATTTTTTTCCAATGATTATAATACGGATCATCGAGTACGCATTCGTCGTAAGCAAAAGCAAAGAAGAAATCATTCTAATAAACGCAATTC